AGACATTCAAGGGCAGAGTAACTCCAACATGACAAAAAGAATGTAAAGGCGTTATATTTATGACTGTGTGGCAAGTAAATTCTGAAAGTAAAGATATCCTTGGCCTTTGATTTTGTTCCTGAGTTGTCCCTCCTGTTCCCACTAGCATTTGAAAACTCAGCTGTTTTGCATATCAGAGATAACTGACTTGAGACACAGAGGGAATGAACTGCTTGCTTTAGATGAACTTTTCCTTTGGGTATCGGCTTTCATGAGAGTTTTACTTCTCTTGAAAACTTACTCATGCTAAACATCTACAGCAGCCACATTTTCAACTCGTGTGATCCTAATAAACTAACATCCTAATAAACTAACACACAGCCTTTCTGTATAACTTCTCATTGTGATTAATAGTTTGATTCTTTCCCAAAGTCCTGGCCGCTCAAATCTGAGGTTTGCTGTGTGCTGATGTTAGATCAGTGATTCAGAAAAGTTTCTAAGATAGATGAGCTTGATTGTGAATGCAAGTCTTGTGGTTTTTTGTTTTGTTTTGGTTTTCTACTTTGTCAGACAAATTCAATGTAAAAAGCCTGTGTATACCACTTCCTTGCCTTCTGTCTGCTCTGTTTAAGCACACACACCCTTGTTTATGTTTCTGTGACAGTTGTATCTACTCAGATTTCATAGATGCCAATCTGTCACAAATAACATTTGCACATAAATTTAGATTCATTAGATTGTTCTGAAGTTATAGCTTCACTTTAGGCGATTCTGACTGAATTTAGGGGAGCCAGCATTTATTCTGTGACCCTTTTCTGGTTCAGGCAGAATTTTTTTCTGTTTGTTTTAAGCAGTCAGAGAATGAGGAGACTGGGGTCAGCTGTGGCACCAGGCCGGTTACGAACCCTGTTGTGTTGTAACCGAAGACCGGGCCCTACATGGATGAGGCAGAGCTCCTCCCTTGGCAGACAGGCCTTGGGAGCTGGCCACCAGATGGCACGATCTTCTATAGAATAATTTTGTGACCTCCATAAAGAACAGCTGTTCATCCCTCCATTGAAAATGGTAGTGCCAGGTACAATGAAGTTCATAAAGTTTTAAGAGTTGTTTTCAGCTTTTTACACCTGAAGCTTTTTATTGTTTTGTTTTTCTCCATTATAACTCCTGTATCGTGCCTTCCCTTTTCATCTTTGAATATGAACAGGAAAACACCCTTTCTTTTTCCATTGATCTCAGATATTGTTGTTAATTCAGTTGCATTTCAAATCAATTTTGTTAAGTAGAAGCATAGCATACACAAGGATGTTTGCATCAGTAGTAGTTGGAATGGACTAAGTACATAATGAAGTGTTCATGTACTATGAAAAAGACATAGGTGATTTTCTTTTATTTTTTTTTTTCACTGGGTCATTCTGCACCATTTTGCTCAGTGCCCAGCCCACCAAAGATGAAGTACTGCTGTAGAGGTATGCAGAAGTAACACTGAAAGCTCAGCTCTGAAGAGGCAAGAAAACCATGAATATTGTAAATATACTGTAAGGTCATTAAATGAATACAGTTTTTAACTGACACCGAAGAGAGAGGAACTTGATTAACTAACCTTAGCAGTTGTGAAAGCGACCATAACCAATTAAAGTCAGAGGGTCTCCGTCCCTTTATTCTTGGAATAAACATTATACAGATTCACAATCTGAAAGTCTATGTAATGATATTCTGAATTTTCCAGTACTCTCCTGAATTTTGTTAGTTTTTACAACAAAAAGACATCAATTAAAGGGAGAGTTTATTTCAGAATAAGTGAACAGAAAATGGATGAAAATTCACTATGCGCATTAAAGTTCATCTGCAGAGACAGGTACAGAAATTTGCTCAAAACTTGTTCTAAACTGTTCTGATTCCAAACACCCGGGCAGAGTAAGCACAGCTACTAACACCACGTACTTTTATTTTTATTTAGATGTGGAGATTTGTAACATATGCTGCAGCTTGCAGGTGTGGTGTAGTGTACAACTCTTTGGAGGTGAATAAACTGAATAAACTTAGAGTGACCAACCCAGTCAAGCAGCTGCTCACCTGTAATTCACTGTACTACATGCTGGCTCTATTCCTCCCCCATTCCCAGTGCAGGCAAGCTCTGTTTCAGAGTTGTGTAGCTGTCAGCATTTTTATATCACATCACAAGATAGTCATCAGTGTAATTTAATCTTTATAAAGAGGGAGAATGTAAAAGCTCAAGTACTGTTCCTATAATCTAGTTATCTTTTTTCTGTTTGACAGAGTTGTACCATTTTCTTTATCCAGTTTGATCTATCCTTCAAGGTCCATGTGGCATTACAGCACCAATGGTATTGGCCCTTAATAAGTTGAGTGTAAACAGGCGGGTTTATGGCTTGGGTTCATTTACCTTTTTCACGGTTATGTATGTCTCTCGAAAGCATTGAGAGCCTGGTACAAGACGGAGGCCTTCATTTCTGAGCTAACCTGAGGACAGTGTCTATCAGTGGTTCCCAGTCCCAGAAAGCACAGTTGGTGCTGGACATTGGTCACCTTTTAGTATACAGAGCATGTAGAGCCATGAGCAGAGTGTGTCATGAACCAGACACTTACACAGCCAGCCATGCAAGGCAGCAAGAAACGCTTGTTCACAGCCCGTCAGTGGAACAACTGTAGAACTTCCTGGGTGACTGTGTGAAAGTAATTGGATGTCCAGAGCTCTCCTTGTCTGCTTCTAGTGACTTGTTTGTTGTAAGAATGTTTAAATTTAAGTGCCATTTCTTGGACATTGGGTTTATGCACGGACTTAGAATTTCTTGCTGTGTCATCCATTGCATACATTATATGCTCTGACAGGTCACTTCTTTTTTCTTTGTGTTTCAGCCTGCTCAAGTATGTAGTAGAGTTGGTGATACCTTTCCATAAATGATACTTTGGAATTTGTGATGGAGTGAATAGTAATTTCACTTGTTTTTTTTTTTGTTTTTTTTTTTTTTTATTTTTTCCTTTGTTTTGCCTCTATTAATGGCACAGAGTTTACACTGTTGAGCTTAACCAGTGCCTACTAAGCTTTACTATGGCAATAAGAACAGAGGATTTTGTGTGCAACCACTTCATTGTTTTCTGTGCTGATGCCATGCTACTTCATCTACTGAAGGCCTAGGAATCTGGACCTAGTTGTTAAAGGAAATTTCTTTCTCAGTTGTCTGCTCCTGAACAAGGTTGAGATTGAGGTGAAGGAGTTGTAATTAAAAGAAAATGTGTCAAATGTAGTTTCAGAACAGACAGAATCCTTTGGCAGACACTTGAAAATCAGCACTAAGGTAGCACTCATTGCAAAGCAAGTTTCTGCTTCTTTCCTGAACCTTTTGAATTTGTAAGTGATACACACACACACACATACACACACACATAAACAAGAAAACGGTTAAGTTCTTTCCTCCCACACCCCTGTGTTTTGAATTCAGATCGCAGACCAGGGAGAACATTCACTGAGGAAAGGTATATGGCTCCCTTCTATTTCAAGTGGGGAGACATCCTTTTAATTGCAAGCAGACAGCAGATGGTATGGCTTTTGTGGTGTCACGAACTCCAGCACAATACAGTCAGCCGCTGCACAGCGTGGTACGATTTAAAGCTGAGTGAACGTGGGGGGAGTGACGGGTTAGGGGTGGGAAGGCAATAATTCTGAGGACATTTGTTCCGTTTTTATTTTACAAATTGACCATGATTTTTTTATGTTTCCCTTTTGTTCCCTTTCTGCATCTGTTCTAGAAAACTGATTTCCCACGAAGAGCGCACGCCAAAACAAATAGTTTTGAAAGGATTGTTGTCAACTTCAAAAAACACACCTCTGTACTAAAGTTTATAAATTACTCTCTCAGACCTCAGAAGAGGAAGTAGGTGGGGGAGAAAAATAGAAATATAAGTTTCCAAGCAATAAACACAAGGCAAGATCTCTTCTAGTCCACAGTCATAAGATTCTTTTCAATTAGAAGTGCCCTTTACACCTGATTCAGCCTTTTAACCCACTGGCCAATGTATTGTTCTGGTATCCTCTCACTTTGCCTCTGTAAGGAAAAGTTTCAGAACTGCAAAGATTTTCCTAAGACAGGAGATGTTTTTCTATTCAAACCTCAGGTACCTTGTGTCTTCCAATGCTATCACACTGTTAGCACATAAATCCTTGGAAGGTTTTTGTTCAGACTGTTGGTCTGTGTCACTGGTCTGTGGAGCAATGCCAATGCACAGCAGCTGGGATTTCCTACCCTGCTCCTGCATGCATTCTAAATTACCCAATAAACTCTGACTTTGAGCATCTTACACAAATCAGAACTCTAATTCTGCATTTCCCAAGTAAGTATATGTTTCTAAAACATTTGTGCTTTGTGCAAACATTCACTAAGCAATATCAAGCACTATTTGTTTTCTGATGTTAAAAAAGATACAGGAACATGGTGCCATCTATCAACACATCCAATGTACTTTATATCCAAGTAATGTAATATGTTTCACAATTCTTTTTTTCCATGAGGGGATAAGGAATGTGATAAGGAATAATGATGTGGAACTGGAGTAATTTACACAGAATTGTGTCTGAGCAGAACTACTTAGGAATCTGTGCAGCTTGTTTCCTATGTTCATAGATATGCTAATACAAGATATGCTTCCAAATACAGCAGGGTTGTGATCTAAGGACACTGCTTTGAAGGTATTTTCTCTCTGTTTATCATAACTTATTTTGCCATTATTTCACTGTCCCTGCAAAATCAATCGGATATTTAAAGTAAATATGCATCACCTTCTTTAAATATGCACAAAACCTGAAATCCATCTTTTGCCCTTGATTTCTGCTGATCTCCAGATCAATTCAGGATCTTTTATTGAATTATGATCTTCATTTTCATATAGGTCAATAGCATCCGTGTTAATGACTCACTTAGATCATAAAAGTACATTTCCAAGGGGTGTGACTACAGGTGGGCTGAACAGCTTGTCTGGCTTATAAAAACAGGTCCTCAGGCCAGCTGCACTTACCCATTCTTCTTTGTTCCAGCAGCTATTCTGCTCTAGCAGCCACATCTGCAGGGCAACATGGCATTCACAGGCAAATACGAATTCGAAAGTGATGAGAACTATGATGACTTTGTGAAGAAGATTAGTAAGTATATCTTGGGTGAGCCTTAAAGGTTTTAAATTAGCTAGAAATACTTGTTTAAATAAAGCAATTTATTGAAAATGTGTTGAGATCAACAGGAGATAGAACTGGTTGGAGTGCTCCACACTTCAGCAAGTGTGCAACTTCACACTTCTCATTCTTATTAAGAACAAGAAGCACTGTTATCTGCAGGAAATAGTCCAGTTGTACAGAAGTTGTTATTCCTTTTCAGTGGCAGCAGAATGAAGGGCAAAGACATTTGCAGTATAATGACAATTAGAACAATTTTTTTCTGTCCTGGGTATTCATTAGTGAAAGTGTAAATTTTAAGTATGAAAAATACTTGTCAGTCTTATACTGGACCAGGTTTCTTTGAAGCATTTCAGAAAAACTGTGTAAGCTGTGTCTGAGATCACTCCTGGGAAATCCCTTAGGAACGCTATGATCTGTGTGCATAAATTCAGTTCTTGTATTCCTTTGTTTAAAAAGCAAATGCAAATAGTAAGTAGGTATGCACAGCTGTATGGCAGAGGCAGAAATTCATTCACATGAAATTCCATGTATCTGCATGTGTAGCCTAAGTAGAGAGATGCAGACATTTATATATTCCTTCTACCTGCACCTTTATTATATATCATTCCTAAGGGAAAAGAAATCAAGACCAAAACCTATCATTTTAGCAAATGCATTGATTGCCTTGTATTTTTCTTTATATCACTAATTGAAATAAAGAAACAAAAACACAAATCAGATACTCAGACATGAATGTCTGAGAACAAACATCCCAGTAGCATGCTTTACTTCAAACGCAGCTGATAAGACATTTGATTTGATAAACTGTATTTTTCTATTTATTAAGGTCTCCCCGCTGACAAGATCGAACTGGGAAGGAATTGCAAAATAGTCACTGAGGTGGTGCAGAATGGAAATGATTTCACCTGGTCTCAGCATTTCCCAGGAGGACACACCACAACTAATTCATTCACTATAGACAAGGAAGCAGACATGGAGACAATGGGTGGTAAAAAGTTCAAGGTATATTAACTTAGCCCTTGAGTTCTGTGCAGTCTCGGTTGTTGTTTTTCAATATAGAATGAAAATCAAATATGACTCGGATACATTTCCCTTAACCTGTTAATTCATCTATCATAGCCTGGACATCATATGTATTTTTTCCCTGTTTCTTGTTGTCCTAGCAAAATATCTAAATCTAGAACTGCATTTTGATGAGGGCTGGAGCTTCAAAACTATTAACTAGTAAAGAATGATGAAAAAGTGAAGAGCATCTACTCTTGTCATGACTCAAGCAATCTTAGTGCCCATTAAAACTGTAATGAGCTGGCTCCCAGCTGTCCTTGTTGTCCAGCACCATACAAAGGAAGCACACCCTGACAGCAGTGCTGTGGTCCTTAGCCTGACTGTAGTGTTCAGTCTTTGAAGCTGCCTTAAACTATGTAAGGACTATGTAAAGTGAATGTAAATAAATCTCTGTGTACCATCCTTGATATTGGAAGTACAGATCCACTTGCAACTGGAGCAGTCTCTAGAGATAAGGTTGTACAACCTGATCTGCACCTGACCTGGACAAAATTTTGATATCTACATAAAATGGTTGCTTTAATACCTTATTCATTTCTCACCTATTTTAACGGATAGTTTCAGATGACTAAATTCAGCATTAACCCTACAACAGATTAATAGGTAAATGCTTTATATTGAAGAGATAGGAAAATGATCAATTGCATTGAGCAGCTCTGACAAAATAATAGCAATAACATTGCATGATTTCTGGAACGCTTTTTCAGTCATACCATTCTAATTATACGGGGGAGAAAAAGAACATTTGTCTTTGGTTGTGAGAAACCTTTTTGAAGCCTAACGTATGGAACAAAATGTAGTTCTACTTAGTCTACTTTACAGTTTTGAAGTATTACAAATACTGCCTTTCTTTTGGCCTTAGGATCTTCAGCAGTCCAAATCCTGCTAAGTATCTAAAGCCAGAGGCAGTATAAACGACTCTCAGCAGTGAAACCCCTGCCTTTTAGCAGTCACTAAACAGTACCTAAATTAGTAAGACTGTTTCCTTGTATCTAGTTAAAAAAAAACAAAAACAGCCCATTTTTCATTTTGCAGTTTTTTTCCCTTCTAGGTATGATTAACTCATCCATCTATTACTACTGCATAGTAGGTTGACTTTCTATGTAAACAAGACTCATTTTGTCATCCAGTTATGTAGCTAGTTCTACAGAGCTGGTTTTGGCAGTCAGCTGAACTGCTGCGGAACTTGTGATCTTAGATTAGTGTCCTGCATAATTCTTCCATGCGGAAATAGCTGTGAGAATGATAGTCCACTTGGTAGAGACTTTCAAAGATCATCTACTCCAATGGCCTGACCAGGGCTAACCAAAAGTTAATGCATGTTGTTGAGGGCACTGTCCAAATGCTTCTCGAGTAGAGAGCCATGAGACATCAACCACCCCTTTGGGAAACCTGTGTCAATGTTCGACTGCTCACACTACAGAAATTTTTCCTGACGTTCTGTCTGAACCTCTGGCTGATGCAGCCATGTGCTGTTCCCTGTTTTCTTCAATTGGTTACCAGGGAGAAGAGACTGGAACCTCTCTCCATTTCCTCTTTTCAGGAATTTATCGAACACAAAGCAGCTGGCACAGATCATAGTATGAAGGTGTGACTGCAAACTGTACAGTCAGTTCATCCATACTTGATCTCGGTGAACTCTAGCACAGTTGAAGTTATGAAACTTAGGATCTAGAGTGAAGAATTGATATCACTAGCTCACAGTCACTTTTCTGCTATTTGCAGCCAGCTGTTTACAATCTGAGAACAGTACTTTAAAAGTAATTACACTTTTTAGTTCACTGTTGTTACAGTCAGAAAGGTCAACACGGTGGAAGGATGATACAGGAGTCCAGAAGCAAAGGGACTAGAGAAAATGGAATGGTTTTACAAAGAAAAAGTGCTCACCTGTCTCTGAAGATCTTGGCTTGCAGGAAAGACTCCACAAGGGAGGGATCTCCAATCAGATACCCTTCCCCAGCAGCAGTCAGGCCTCTTTTAAAAAGAGGTCTAAGAAAGATGCAGCCAGGCTGCAGCCCTTCCAGTCACACAGCTGAATTGCCTTCACCTGTGCTCCCAGGGCTGACCTGGTTCTTTCCCTGGGTGCTCAATCAGTGGTTCAGTCTGTGACTCAACAGTTACCATACAACTGTCAAAACAAAAGAACCACAAAAAGTGTTTATGACTGAGAATATAGTCTGTAATAAGATCACTTTTAGAGCTATGGATGAATAATGTCCATGCCTTATTTGTAAGTATGAAACTTAAAGGTATTGTTAGTTGAACATTTTTCTATTTAAATTGTGAATATTTACATTTAGGAACTAAAGCACAAAGATTTTAGTCTTATTGAAGAATCTGTGAATGTAATAGATGAATTTTTCTTCTTTTAAAGGAAAAACTTCAAACACGATGTATGTATCATAACTGATAATAGAAATGCCAGTAAGCTCAGGGACCATTAAATCTCTGTCTGTTACAGGCAACTGTTAAAATGGAAGGTGGAAAAATAGTAGCTGAATTTCCCAACTATCGTCATACTGTAGAGATTTCTGGAGGAAAGCTTGTAGAGGTGAGTTCTCAAGTGTCCAGACTATTTTGGTTAGGACTGCAGGTCTTATTATTATTATTTAAGTTTTGAGTTCAGAAAAACACATCCAAATAAGCAATGCAAAACTGTTTATTAACTTTCTCCTTTCTAGATAATCTCTTAAAATTCTAATCCAAAATTCATGGAATAAACTTTTAGTTATATATTTTGTGTCTTGTATCATATACACAGATACACAGTTTCATAACTGTAATAGACTGGAGTGTTCAGCTTGAGGTATTCCTGAGTTGCTGTTTTTTTATTGACTGTATTCAGTCAATAAGCATATGCTTACAGAATAGAAAATAATATGTAAAGTTTTTCACCTGCTACTTGAACTATGTTTGTTCGTACAAAATGTCATTGACTTTATTTTTTAAAATGTCAATATGTTATAACTTCTCACAGCATTTCTGTAGGACCCTAGTCTATTTTTCAGTCTTACTCCTAGAACAAAAATGTTGGAAGAGCTTATATTATGAATAGTGTCCTATTTTATCATTGAAGTCACATGGCAGTGGTAAATCTTGATTTGACTCTCAAAAGGCTTCTTGATTTGTGGCTTCTCTCTGTGTCAGCTACATACATCTGCATATTTTAACTTTGAGTAATAGTAACTTACAATAGAAAATAAAATGATGTTGTTACTCAGTTATTGCTTTCGGAGAACAACTGTCTAAAATCCTGATACCAACTTGGTGTTGGTGATAGCCAAGTCTACCACTGCAATAACTCAGAGCAGTCTAAACTATTTAGCTTATTGTTTATGTATGTTCTACTAAAGGGTAAATCTGCTTCAGTAAGTGGCAGGTTCCATGTGTAAGCTAATAGGTCTTTCTGTTTGTGACACTGAAGCTTTAAGAACCCTGTTCAACCAAGTTTTGGTGTGTTCTTTATTCCAGATCTCCACTTGTGCTGGAGTAGTCTACAAGAGAACCAGCAAAAAGATTGCTTAAAAAAAAAAAAAAAAAAAAAAAAGTCAGTCTTATGGTACACTCAAAAATAAGCAGCAATACAAATAAAAACAATTCTGATCTATTCTGATCTAGTTTGCTCTTCCTTTCTCTTTGCTTCACAAATGAATGAGTGTTATACCACTGATGCTTATTAACTTCCTAAAGAAAAATAAACTGGCATTTATTTATACTGAAGCAACACCACTATTTCAGGATATAATAATAAATACTTGGCATATTCAAATGTTGTTCACCACACACTTGATGGAAGCTCCATCCAGCTTCTGTCTAGACATCATCAAAGCGTAAGACCTGAGGAACATCTGTTGCTTTTTTACTGATTAGAAAGCAGAAATTGAGAAGCTTTAAAAATTAGACCCACTTTCACACTGCTCTCATGGTTACTTTGTTCTCATCAACATCTCTTGTTGATCCAAATTCTTCAGGGATAGTTGCAGGAAAATTTGGAATCTTACTTCTTCACCACAATCCAGTTTACAAAGAACACATGAAAATCTGTTCTCTTAAACACAGAAGGAATTTGATAAAACAGTTTTTGAATGCGCTGTTCCAAGTAATTTCTGGCCAACATCTGGTCCACAAAGATTTCTCTTTTCAGACTTCCACTCTGAAGTCATTTTTTCCAGCTGTCATTTCTTCTGGATCCATCTAGCTGCTTGCTCTCACCCTTTGTTAATTAATAACAAGACAGGGCATGTGGCTTGTGTACACAAAAGTTCATTTTCTAATTTCTCTCTTGTTCATGACTGACAATCCTAATCATTTCAGGTATCTTGCAGTCAAAAAATGTTCTTAATTGCTTTTATATTTTTCATCTTAACTGAGATTACTAATGTTTCCTATCTGCATTAATTTACTCAAAATAGGCTACACACAGCTTATGACCAGGTGTTGCTCAGTTAATTACTCATTTTGCATTGAAGGCAACTCATAATGCTGAACCCCTAATTAGAAAAACATCTGTCAACTCCAAAACCTCTCAATCTTAAAGGAGTCTTTTGGTACATGCAGCAAACAAATCTACTGCATTAACAAATCATTTCTTTCCAATTCAGCCTCTTCAGTCATATGGAAGAGGTATCACTCATTTCTTCTTCCCTCAACAAGAACACTCCATTTAGATTTCACACCCTTGCTACCTCGCTGCAATATGGATGGGGTAGAAAGCAATACTAAGCATAAATCAAACAAATAAAAGCAAAAAAGAGAGAGCTGCAAAGTTGACCCATAAAAGCAGGTCCTCTGGAGCACACAGGCATTTTGCCACTTGCATAGGTAGCTGCCCAAAAGCCTTGTGCTGTCGACCCTGCTGGATGGTCCTTTGATAGACAGTGAATAAATGATTTCGATTCTTAGCATCCATTGATGTTAATTTTGCTTTTAAAAGGAAATAATAGAGCCATCAGAATTGGACAATAAAGCTCTTATTTTGAACTTCATAACATTTGTGCAGGGAAAGCAAGCAACCCCTCTCACAGTCATACAGAATGACTGGAAATATCATTATTAGAAACTTCCACTGAAATATGAACATTAAAATTGCAATACTTCAGATTGATCAAGCAGACAAACAGTTTTGTTAAGCAGAACTGCCTGCAACAGAGATAATGGAAAGCTTATTAAGATTCTTATATTCACCAGTAAATCGGCGTCATTTTTATCAGAGTAATTGGGTTCCTGTGAAGGTTGGAGTGGGTTAGGATGGAGGAGGTAAAACAGTTATTTTGATAACTTAATGATTGAAAGTCCTTGGATTCGTAAGGAAAAAAAAAAAAGTGAAATGTCATCTGTATACCAAATTAACATCACATTTTAACTGATAAGTAATAATGAATTGGCAGTCATTAAAAATTTTGAACAATATAATGAAAACCATAAATCAGAAATATTTCTGCAGTTAATGGTTCCAGGTATATGCAGTATATGAAGACTATTACTAAGAAACTAAGTACAAGAGGCACAGTGCTATTTTCCTCTGACTATGAGAAGGGTTGGTTTTTTGTTTTGTTTTTTTTTGGTTAACTGGATGTCTGTGCTCAAGGAAATCAGGCACATGCAGCAATCAGGAGAGCAAGCCACAAGCATTTGCAAAACTTCAAGAACACACGGACTACCACTATGTAGATGCAAGGTTGGCTTGACGCAACTTCTGTGTTCCTTTAGGACAGTAACAATGTCATTATCTTGCATGAGGAAGCTGAAGCATAGTTCAGACCCAGTTGCAGAACACCATCTCAGGAAGTGATAGATATTTCTTCAGGCTCACTCGTCATTTCTCTTCAAATAACAATGGGACATCTTACAGATCTTAAAAAATGTGCCCATGATACCTACTACATAGAACCATAGAGCCAGACACAGGCTGCTAGTGTTCATTTTGGCAATTGCAGCATAGTGCTTTCTATTCGTAGCCACGTTGTTCTGTATTTGCTTTTGCAGTGATGTTTGTTCACAAAGCTTTCCAGGGAATTGCATGTTGATCAGACTGCAAAAACTCTGATCTGTTTATGCAAGAAATGACAGCATCAACCAACACAGACACAGGGTGAGAAGTTTTATATCATTTCAAAAGAAACTTCGTATGCATCTCTATAGCTCACTTCAAAAGTAACTGTGGCAAGAAAGTCAATAGAGAAGCAGCTTTTCGATTGTCTGAACTCTTCTATGTTCTCTCTTCCCAAGTTTTCACAAGAGGGAAAAGATCCACTTAAAAATCTGTTAGCAAATCTCACCTACATGTAAAGCAGTCTGCAGAGAACAGTCAGTCAAAACACTATCAGGCCAACTCTAAGTTCTCAGAAATCTTTTCTGTATTTTTCTGAGACTGCTGTTGAACAAAATCTGCTCCAACTTCACCAATGCTACAAAGGCACTATGCTAGAGAAGCCAATGGACAATTCTTGTTTAAAATGCAGTTACCAGAAGAAAAGATAATGTACAACTGTGTTCTCTGATTCAGTATTTCATGGCACTGGGCCATATGAGCTGGAATAATCAGTTCTTACGTCCTGCTTCATGTCTGCACATTTTTTGCCTGTTTCTTCAGCAATCCCCACAGCCTGCTTTGTGTTCCCTTATACACACCAACACTTGAAACTTGGAGCAAAACCTCACTTTCTGCACAGGGACCAACTTCCTCATCTGCCTGCCTAACCCTTCACAACTTATTATTCGACAAGGCCTTTCCATCACATTTGTCCTACCACTGTTCTGTAAGATGTTATGAGTACTCAGATCAGGTGTTTTTTAAGGTACAGATGTATTCCTTGTTAGCTCCTGAAAGCTTGGGAGAAAACAGTAGAAAAATTAACAGAGTACTTCATCTGTACACTTATTTATTGGAAGCTTTCACTGGAAACGTTGCAAGTATTTTCACATTAAGCAGAATGGCAGCCCAAAGTGTAACAGTGTGTGTGACCTGAACAGAAAGGTGATAAAAACAAAGAAAAACCATCCAACATACTGCCACTACTGTTTTGTTCAGTAGTTCTGACGAATGACTAATTATAAAATACACTAAAGTCTTCTAAAAATAAAGTTTAATATAAATACAAAACCAACAGAATTAAAGATTAAAGACTAAGTTCTCTACATTTCTAGATCAATTTCTGAAGAGTACAGCCTCTTCATTTACAGTTTGCCTTTTTTAAGTGAAAAAAAAAAACAACAAAATGCCCCTAGCCTGCTGAATGCAGGAAATCATTAGCTTAACATCCAACATTGCATTCTCAGAAGATGGTTACACAAGCACACATCAGCATGCAGGGTAATTTTCCCCCTCCACCTTTAAACGCCCTTAAAAACAATTCTCTGAAAATATAATTTAAAACAACATTGACACGTGACTTGGAAAAGCTGCCCCAAGTCAGAAAAAGCATATTGCACATTACCTGTACTGCAGTCCTGAGATCCTTAGGGAAAAAGGACAGTCCAACAGTATTGTCTTCAAACAAACACACAATTGTGGTTGTGTATCAAAACTAGAAGTTTCACATTTCAGAAGTCTATTTCTTGTAAATATCTACATTGCAGTTAAACAAACAAAAACCTCTACAATCTTCTCTGATCTCAATCGAAAAGGGAACATTTGGGTATCCGGCAGTAGGTGCATCTCATTATAAAGTAACATGATCTGCAATTCACCAGCTATATTTTCCAATAGAATCAAGGTGATATTCAAGAAAACTAAGTCAGGATTGCCTAGTGCTGCAACTAAACCAATTTCCCAATAAAGTTAACCAGTTCCCCATCTCTGCCCACATTACCAGCAGTTCCTCTGTCCTAAAATTGAACTACTGCCACAAACCGTTTGAGCCCAAACTACGAAATAACTGAAGGGACTGAAGTTTTTGAGAGTTTGTCAAAGAAAATTTCTTCAAGTAACATTAAATCCCTGATAAAGCTTGTAAACAGTTTTACTAACTGTAATCTCCAGTCTCAAAAAGCAGCAGCATGTTTAAGTTCTAAGATCATTTATGCTTTTTAATGTTTCTGTTGCTTATTTTTTTTTTCAAATAAGCAAAGGCAGAGTGGTGTTCTGTGTTCAGTTCAGTAGCATCACATCTTGTTTCCAAGATAATTTTAAGTCAAAGATTATTTGATAGTCTTCCAGCCTTTGTTCCTTTTATTATGAAGTCTTACTCCTGCATTGTCACTCCAGGTCAAAGAAAATTGAAGTGTTCTATGTGTCTATTTCTGCAGAAACAAAGAGCACCCGCATTTAAGTGAACACCATTTCAGGACACTTTTTGTAGAAGCTTCCAGTAGTATAAGCCACCACTGTTCAAAAGACACATCCCTGGGAGAGAGAGAGCACTCTGTTTTCAATAACATCCTCTAAGAACATTGCTACTAAACCAAAAATTCGAGGAACACTCTAGCCTGAAATACCATACAAGCTTTCAGCCAACTCAGATCAGTGAGTCACTAACTGAGAACTAGAAAGTAGTAATCTCCACAGGGTTGCTATGCACGTCTTTCAAAGTTACTTCACATGAGGTATGTTACTGCATTTCTGTTTCTCTTATTAAGAGAGAAAGGTACAATCCTTGGCAAAGGCACCCAGCTTCCAGTGATCAATGGATCCAGATCCACGTCCTGTGGATGAGTAAGATGTACGGATTCTGTTCCTTCACGGTTCTCATTCAGATACACATTCCGTATCACTCACAGGGTCTTTTCTTTAGTTTTCACTCATGTCACCTTATTCTCGTGCTGATATTTATCCATCAAAACACCCAGCTGGATACGAATGGCAACCGCTGAAATAACTACTACCACAAGCCATGGAAATGCAGTGACTGGGCTCTGTTCCTAAGGCCACCTGCACAGCAATAGGCATTTGGACATGCAGAGTCTGGGCAGATGGCTGCAGGTTGGTCTGAAGAGCAGCATAGGGATGCATTGAGCTGTCAGCACTCCCAGCAATCAGAGTGCTGGGTCTGTGTGGCTGTAAGGAGTCACGATAAGCAGAGCACAAATCCTGTACTGGTGACTGGAAGTGGGAAAGACTAGCTGAATGCTGGGCTAAAGGATGATAACCGGATTGCTGAAATAGAACTTGAGTAGTGGCTTCATGTCTCAGGTTTTCCATTACTTCCTGCTGCTGATGTTGGATTGTTACTTCCTTTTTTATATTACTGGCTTCTTTGATGTCATTCTCATAATATCTGAAACAAATAAGTTAGATTCATCAACAGGGAAAATTCACAGAATTTGCATATACCAAAATTTCCACGCATTAGGCTTTTTACCCATAGGTATATATGACAGTTCACACGTTCACAGTTCATTTCTAATTACTCTGGTGAGATCTTCATATCCTAAGAAGTCTTATGAATAATTTTTGCATCCCAAGTACATTTACAATTGGACTTGCTATGGAAAGTTATGAGACCTTGAAGTCCACAGCATGATTTTCTTAAAATAGTCTGCGTGGGTACTTGCAAAGTATTTAAGTGCACAGCTAAGAGAAACACAGGAAAAATCCTGTAAGATACCAGGAAGAAACACGTTCACACATTTGATAATCATTAGGGTCATCAATCAGTAAAACAAATTGCTCAGTGAAATTGGGAAATCTCTGTCCTTAGATAGCAACAGCTGACTAGACAGTACTCCAACCAGTCTGGATTCAAGTTCAATTGGCCCCACTTCAAGGAAAAATTCTGAAGTCCAGCATCATTCTATGGATCTTTCACGTTTTCTGTTGAGACTTGTATGTGCTCACATGAATCAACCAGTACCAACACACTGCAGTCATGTCCTTTACTGCAGAAGCAGCAAAGAATAGCCCTGAAAAACATCTCCCTACTGTATTCCCAGAGTTGGAGATACACCGGTGCCCCTCTGCAGCAAGATCTTTATGGGTACAAGGAGAAAAGAAAGGAAAAAACTTTCAGCAACCATCCGTAAAAGCTTCCACCCAATGGCATGGACAACCAGTACAAGATGAAAAGAACAATAAATTGTGTGCCATTCTACAATGCACGTATGTTAAAAAACAGTATTTAGTGAAATGATCCAATTTTTCCATTTTATTCCTCTCCCCATACTAAAGCTAGAGGTTACCAATGTAATAGCTAAAAGCCATAGCTATCATTAAGCTATAACAGGTCCTTTTTCCTGCACATTTTTTGTTTTGTTCTAAGCAAGCATCAACAACTTGCTAAGAATGCCAAGAGGTTACTTGCATTTTGATCTTACATGAGCATCATTTCAATGCACTGGGCAAGGTGCTCCCAGGAGTAACATGTGAGCAATTCAAGCTGTGTTGTCCAGGCAGGAGAAATCTGCATACAGATGCGTGAGGCACACACAGAAGCCGCAGCAATCAGAGATGGACGAAAATGAAGGAAACTGTGATCTACAAAGGAATAAAAATAGCATGGGTTATACTCTTACTGATCACTGCAGTGAGCCTAGTAAGTAGTACATGGCAACACGGGACAAAGTTAAATCCTCAACTTTATTCCATACATCTCAAAGTAGCAACTCGCGCCAATGAGAATTCTATCAAAACTGGATGAAGCTTTACTGAAAAGCTGTGTGCTACTGGTGCCTGGAGGGTTTTGATTAAAAACAACAACAAACTATGAAATATATGAAATGGACTAACTATGCCAAAGTTTTTAGACTTGTGTCAAGTGAACTGATGTCCACTACTTACAGTCACATACATTCACATTAGTGTTGGAATTTTAAGAATACTGCAGATTATTGCCTCTCTCACAGGCAGATATTGGAACTGGTGCTGCAAACCAGATCACTATAAGCTCAGTCTGAGTGCATCATATCATATCATCACATCAGCACAGAATCCTCAAAAACATAACTGAAAAAAGTCATACGTTAAACTGCATTCAGTCATGTCTACAACTGACAGCAGTTCATACTGTGTCAGATAACCATTTCCAGTGGTCTTGCCAATTCAGAGTTCTAAGATGAAAAAAATGGATCTCTCATTTCTGAGAAGAGGCAAGACTAATCTGCAAGGAAAGGACAACCAATTGTCATCTGAAATAACTGCCAAGTGGCACACTGGTCTACATAGATCATTTTGTACAGTCCATATAATGACAACTTTTAAAACCCTTCTCTCTTCCAGATTTTTGCCCTTTGGCAAATGGAAGATCATTCTAACATAAACTCAGTCTCTTACCTTGCACTGAAAAATCAAGGAAATAATATGCATATTTTTCCATAAAAGCTTTGACTTTGGTTCGTGAAGTGATTGGCCAGCCGTTGTGAAGGTCATTCTCACCAAGAGATGCATAGAGGTAGTAGTCAATGTAGTGCGCTGCTGTTGGTATGCACAGGTTCCAGTTGAAGTTTTCCAGAAGCAGCATTTCCATTTGAAGCAAGTCTTTCTTGCTCAGTACCACATTCACATTGCACATGTATGCCAGGTTATTTAAGTGCTCCAACTTTGGAACTTTATCTTCTTTTTCTTCAAATTTACCTGCCAAAAAAAGATGGTTTTCAGCTAAGGTACATCATAATGATGGAGTGTCAAAAAGCCAAAGAACCAGAAAGTCTAACAGTGAAAGGCACTTTCTACAATGGATGAAAGAGAGACAAGAGAGTGCAGGGACACAAGTAAGGGGGAAGAAAAAAAAAAAAAAAAAAAAAAAAAAAAGGGAAAAGACTGGTCAACATGTTCCCATATCATATATCATTATTATATCTAATGTAGTTTTGATGCCAAAACCAAAATAAAGATTAATTCCTTAGAAGAGCTGGACTGGAGAGCTGGAAGAGTACAACAAATAGAAGTTTAATATTCGTGATGCTTCTGGTGTTAAGAACACTTGTTCACAGAAAAAAGTATATTTTTGAAACTGGGAAAGCCAAATTATTTACTGCAAGTTTAGATGTTCATCTGTATTTTGCTCGTTAAGCATTTTTTTTTTGTTCTCCAGAAAGAGGAACCTCTTCTTCGCATTCATCTTAAATTAGGTCTGTTGTATCCATTTAACATTAACATTGTCACTGAATGTTTGCTAAGAATTTAACAGAAGCAGATGCTACAATTCATAAGCATTTTTATTCATGGCAGAATGCCTGGCATTGCAGTCAAGGAGGCTTATGCATTTCTATAAAGGAAGCAGAACAGGGAGAAACTGATGTCTTTTCAAGACAGTTTTGTACTGAATGTAGGGTTTATACATAAGGTTTCAAAAGTAAAATAATAAAAACTAACAAGTCTGTATTTAAAGAGGAAGTTGTCTACTAGGTTACAAGCCTTCTTGCATTTAAGTTTTTGAAGGAGCATTAATCACAATATGCTCTGTTAAGCCTTTTCATTAAAGTAGTGTTTAAATAATTGAACAATCCTCAGTTTTAAATGCAGATGATAAAAATACCAGCCGTAAAGATCTGAAAAAATGCTGTAATCATAGCTGAAGTTGACCACTACTGATTTATATATATGACTTGCAATCATAGACAGGTCATGTATAGAAGTTCCCAAGTTATGACATGAACTGTGCATCCCACCACAAGCTTTTTGGAGTATATTATACCCTTGAAGAGTCAACAAGACTAAATATGATACAGATCTTTGCTTAAATGTTTCTCCACTAGAAAAAAAAACAACAGTTTTTGACAATGAAGAAATACCTTTAAAGAAATAAAAAAGCTAATATAAATTCAAATACAAAACAAACATACTAAAACAAACTAACAAACATGACAGGGATACCAGGACAGAAGTCAGCATGTTTCAATTGCTAGAGGTTAAGTCATAGTCTAATCTTGATTGATGCTCCTGAATGCTTCCCACCATCATTCTTGATCAGCAGGCATCCTAACCACAGTTGACTTTCAGGTGCTGCAAGTAAAGCAGTGAGGGAGAGTGCTGGTACTGGTTTACCAATTGCAAACTGGATGCTTGGCATACTTCAGACAATCAAAGCTCAAAGTATCAGGTTTATCCTGAGATGACCAGAAGCAAGACATTAGATTGACCCTGCCTTTCCTTTACATTATCTCGATGACACAATTGACACCCTCCTGCTAAATGCCACTTCAGCTTACTGAAGTGGCACAAAACTACAAAATTCTGCAGAATCGGTGATTTTATGTGCCAACAAGGACAGCCATTCCCAGCAAAGCAGAGCTACTATCATTTCAGCCTGAGCAGCTCCCCCATCTGCTACAGCTTCACCCAGGGATGAAACCCATGCCCTTCACAAGGGCCAACATCTACCTGGACACACATTTCTCACCATTCTCTCACAAAATCTCAAGGACCTCACTACTTTGCTAGCCAGAGATAAGGAGTTAAGAATTCACAATAAGCCAGGACTAATAGTACTTGAAAATACACGAAGTGGTGGCTTATCTCTCTTTTCCTGTTTATTCTCAGTGAGTTAAACAAGAGCATCACAAACATTTTTCTGCTAATGGGATTAGTTTGTCTTCTCTCAACCTCTGTATAAATCTTGATCCACAGCAGGAGAAGCCATTTCTGTCTTTTCATAAGTACACTAATGAACAATTTAATAGATTGCTATAGAACTGGAGGTAGGATCTGGACTCTGCAATGCTACAAGAAATGAGTAAAAGCTAAAGCATGCAATGAGTGGATTTCATTATTGGATTACAGAAATATGTTAGTTTATACTTTTGTGTTTCACAACAGATTTCAAGAGGCCTTCATACCAAGGTAATTTGGGTTCCTCATTCCCATTATGTGTTCCTACATCCATGTTACTAGCAGAACAGAGGACAGAAAATTGACTCTTCTTCTCAAGCTACACATTGAGTGAAGTTGAAAGAAAGTTTAAAAAAAAAAAAAAAAAAAAAGAAAACAACACACCACTATTCAGTCATGTCATCTCTCTTCTAGTCATTTTAGAGACCAGTTTTTCCTAACTGGAAGCAGACTGATGAAAGGCATTCAGTAAAGCATGAAGAAAAAAGGCAGCACAGGGGGAAAAAAAAAAAAAAAAAAAAGCAAAGATCTAATACTGAGGGAAAAAATCTCCTTTGGGTATCAATACTGTCCTTTGGGTACGGAAGCTAAATGCATGTGCTACAAAAAAGAAGAGGTAAAAACCCTCAGGCACCGCCACCTTTGCCCTTGCTGTTTCATAATTTCTCTTTGTTCCATCCTGTCTTGGAAGGCCTCATTAGCCAGGGTCACTGAAAAGCTAGTAGTTGTACATTGTAGCCAATTAACATAAATAATTCCCATAGGATTAGCCCAGAGCATGCATTTTTAGAGTCCAAATAGCTGAGCAAAGCCACACCTTTTTCTAATTTGCATTGACTAGGCTATTGAAACAGCAGCAGTGTCTAGAAGCAGTCAGTTTTTCCATAAGTAGCTAGAAAGTACTGTCATTTTGTACAGTAAAACGTGATCTCAATTTTTATTGTTCTCAAAAGAGACCAAAAAAATACAGAAAAGGCAGATCTGATACCGCCAGGATTTTGCCTATTAGTAACAAAGTGTTCCTTTGCAGCAAATGTAAGGAGACCTTTTTAAATTTGCAGTTACCAAAACCAAAATGACATAGCTACCTAACATGCCTTGCTCAAAAACTAGCAAGAATCAATCACCAGTAATAACAACTTTTTTTCCAATGCTGCTTAAATAACACCCTTGCTGAAAAATTCAAACTCATTTGGTTAGGTGTACAACGATTTTAAAGTATTCTGTAGTTAATATTCCTTTTCTTCTTGAATGCCCATCACCCACAAGAGACTCTTGCTTCAGTGATTCTCCCATTGCCTCCAAGGGAGCCTCTTTTTTTTTTTGCCTCTCCCATTGCCTCTTTTTTTGAGAAAGAGATGAACTGAGATGTCACCATAATATTCAGAACATTCTTGTCAATCTAAAAATAATTAAAAACAGTACTGTGCCAGCAAATTACATTAAAAGATCTTGCTATCCATTTAGGATAGCAATTCTATTCAACAAAATGTTTCCATCTTGATTTGTTATCTTCGAACCAGTTCAGATACCATGGATATGAAATGCACTAAAAGCATTATAGAGCAGCCACTCCACCATAAAAGAGCACAATAGAAGTCAAAAACAAAATACATCTACCATAAGAAGTAGACATTCATTTCCTGTTCTACCAGTGAAAAAGCCCTAAAAATTCAGGAGTCTGTGTACACACATTCATAAATCTTCTCAGTAAACTTGAATTTAGAACTGTTTAAAAAGAAAAAAGTTGAGAAGAGAGAAGATAACCCCCTCCTTTTTTTTTCCCACCCCAAAAGGTGACGTCAGTCTGATACAGAAGTTTAAGGAATATACCAGCAGGAGGAGAAAAACCACTGCACAGCTAAGAAACTAAGAAGCTGTCATTATGACTTCTGTAAGTCGCAGTTTCTTCCATCTTTCTCACTCAACCTTGGAAATTTTAAAAAGTCAGACCATAGTTAGGGGAGCAGATAATCAGCATGGGAGTGTTAGAAAGGTACTGTGTCAAAAAAGGGCCAAGTTTTTTTTGATTTCACAGAATCACAGAGTCTGAGGGACTTCTGGAGATCATCTACTCCAAACCCTGCTAAAGCAGGCTCCCTACAGTGGTTACACAGGGAAGTGTCCAGCTGGGTTTTGAATACCTCCAGAGAAGACTCCACAACCCTCTTCGGGCAGCATGTTCCACTGCTGTCACCCTCAAAGTAAAGACATTTTTCCTCATGTTCATATGGAACTTCCCATGTTTCAGTTTCTGCCCAGTGCCCCTTGTTCTGTTGTTGGGCACCACCAAGAACAGCCTGGCTTGATCTACTTTGCTCCTGCTCTTGGGCACATGAGTGCCCAACCTTTGGGCTTACCTGAGCCATATATGAAATACACAATATAGTTTGTATACAAGTAACAGAACTTATTTTTTGTGTTTTTATTAAAATGTGACATCAGTTTTTCCAGTAACATTTCCTTTCCTCCCCGATGGGTTTCTGTTCACCTTTAGATTACCGTGAACAATTACCATTCATTTTCAGAATTGATACAGAGGAAATAACTGTTGATGACAGTAAAGTTCAAAGATTTCATAGCTGTTCTGGGGGGGCTGATGTACCCAGCAGGAATTTCCAGAGATCATCTGCAGTTATCACACTGTGCATACCCTGCAGAAGAAACATACATATTCCAACTAGAGAACACTTAGATGATTCCAGGGACACCCACCCACGTTCCTCTCAGCTGCAGCAAGTCCAGGCTGAACATGATTTGGCTGCCAACACAATCTGTTTGGAAGAGCATCATCTTCCCACTCTCTCATCTCTTTTTGCAATTATTTCCATAGTAGGAGGCACTGTCACCATCCAGTTTCCTAGATGGGGAAACTGATGAGCCAGTTAAAATGCTTTTCTAGAACACAGCAAGAGAAATCAGCTCCAGCTAACTAAAAGACAGCTGTGATCTGTGACATGAGAACACTGCTGTTGTATGCTCAAAGATGGATGACAAAGTTGGTAAGGGGAAAAAAAAAAAAAAGTTTGAGATTCTTCAGATCCGAGAAGCAAACCTGAAAGCTAAATTAAAGTTGACAACAATTTCTCTGAACTTACACAACTGTCCTCAGTGTCCCCCAACAAAAGAAAGAAAATCCACCTCCCCCACACTTAGATCGGAAACGTCACCTCTCACTACACCTCATCTTGTTTGTGGTCTGCACACTGCCATTAACCTCCTGCCTTTCTCTAAGGAAACAATCAGAAAGAAAAAGCAGAATTTCTCAAACGGTGTTTATCGTGCAGAATTATCTTCTGATAAACATTCAATAATCATCTTGAGCGAGGTAAACACCGTATTCCAAAGAACTGAACCTTACTTTTATGAAGATGACTGTTTGCTCTCAAAAGTTATTAATACATATTTTAATAAGTACAAGAGTCTTGCTACAGACCGAAGAGTATTTCTGCTGCAATCCTTTGCTGAACAAGTAGGCAACTTCCTAATTATTTGCAGGAAGTCCTAATTATTGCATTTGCAGTGAAAGGCAAAAAAAAAAAAAAAAAAACCAAACCAGTTATATTTGTTGCTATAATGAGAAATATCAGGTGACTATAGTATACCATTTATTCTACTTCTTATCATTTTGAAAATAAACTAAACCCAGGAATTCCCATTTGGCATAAAATGTCTTTCCCCAACTTGACTTTCACCAGTTCAAGCTACGTGTACCAAAGCAGAAGGTCCTTATTGAACATTAGTATGGCTCAAACAACAAACAACAGAGCTTACTACATCTAGAGACTCTCCAGATTTAAAACCTTGTCTACACAAAGTGTTTAGGTATTAATTTTGTGCAAAGCTGCTTTGCTTCAAATTTTAGCATTTTGTTTCTACACGTTGGTAGGAGAGCTAGCTTTACAATTATAGACTTTTCCCCTTTCTTATAAAGGATGGTTCCATAACAGGATATATGAATGCTGCACTGAACTAGTGTCAGGTTTAGAAAGATTCTCATACTCATTAGCTCACTAGGCTTGGACTTGATCCCTGAATCAAATTGCCTTTAAAAAAAGAAAAAGTTAAGAAACATTTTCCTCTTTCCCTCCAATATCATCATGAGGTGGTTTGTCAACTTCCTTTTCCTTCGCGGTTTCTGAGATGATCTAAAGCTGCATTTGACTTTGGCCCCTTACTTAAGGACAGCCTTAAACTTTATTTCATTTTAAATCCTAGACGCTACATGAACCAGTTGTGCAGCCCTCCCAGTCTCATACAGGAAGGCTCTACTCAAGATCTTACCATTATATCAAATCTGACAACTCATAAGAAGTTCAAGGGCACCAATGCTATCCTACCTGCACATGTAAGTTATATCTATAAATCTTTCCTGTAAATTCAAAAAACGTCACTAAAAAGAACTGCTGAAGCACCAATTTTATGGCAGGGATTAGCGGGAGAGGAGAATGCTCAAAAGTATCAGGTTTAAAGAAAATCCTGTTCTGTATTCTTTATGGATCCTTTCAACCATGTACCTGGAAAATAAATCAGCATTGCTGTGAGGCATCTTGCAGTTACAAGGTTACACATACAAAAATGGAGTGTTCAAAAAAAAAAAAGTATAGGAAACAGAAAGAAAACACCTCAGCTGGGATTGTTTTCTGCCAATTTTCTAGTCTGAAGGAGCTCATCAAAGGTTCAGGTAAGCAGAACTTCAACAGCTCTTCCAGACTAAGTACCACATAGTCTGCAGTAAAACTGCACCTACGGAAACTATTTCAATTCTTCTTTCCTCTGATTTTAACTCTGGCTTTTCTGCAACACAAGCAAGCACCTATCCATATAACTCATCATCTTTTTCTAGAGCCAACACTGCCAATGCTTAAATACACTATGTGCATATTATGGTAAAGTACAGTTCGTTGTTACCGTTATCTCTGCAGATCAAGCTCTTCAGGGCATTCCCCATAAAGAAAAGTGTTAGCAAACTTGTACCTTGATCAATAAACACACAATATCACATTCTTTCCTCAGCAGATCCCTTCTGGCTCTCTCTCTCTTCTCTCTTTTTTCCTTCCTTTTTTTTTTCTTTTTTTTTTTAAAACCTTAACCAGTGTAACTGCCTAGAAGTTTCCAGCCACTGATGCTGCAGTTTGCATAACTTTTGTTGCCTACAACAATAGCACACTGCTCTGCCTGGCTCCCATATGGCAGGATAATTTCCTAGTAACCTAGAAACAGAGTTTGCAAGTCTGTAATTCCTTGAGGCACCAGCCTCACTTTCTTCCACTTGCACATCACTGCCTGCAGAGATTTCAAAAAAGTACTAACCACAGTCATTCAAGATCATTTGCCAAATGCATGCCAACACCAAAACTTCCGTTTCATAGTAACGAGTAGGAGCCCAGAACAAACAATATGCATTCCAGTACTATCAACATACCTACTAAGTGCCTTCGGATGCAATTTTCCTTTGGCCCTTGTACAAGAGAACTCTGATTTGCAAGGAATTGTTTATGTCCGGTGATCATGACAGAGGCACGGATCCAAGGACAGCTCTCCAGGAGAAGCTGTATTACTCTCTACTGCTAATTCTTCTTTAGAACTAAACTCCCCCAATCTTGCCATCTCCTTTCCATTACTCCCTTATCTTCATTGCCCCTTTTCACCAATCCAACTTCAGGTACCTAAACTTCCTCCACACACTAACACCATCATATGAATGTGCAGAACAAGCTGTGCAGTCAAGAAGAATTTAAGACTACTTTAGTTCCTTCTGTGGACTTCATTGGGCTTAACCTTAAGCACATCATAGAGTAACTGAAGTTGGAAAAGACCTCTAAGGTCATCCAGGCTAACCATCCACCTACCACCAGTATTTCCAACTAAACCATGTCCCTCAAAACTACTTCTAAACATTTAAAGAAAGCAATTGGGAGTGGTTATCCTGTGCAGTTTTCTGTGTTAAGACATGCAAAGACAACAACCATCTGCTAGAGAAGGGAAGAAAAGCCACAGTAAATAAGAGCCAACTTACTTGCTAGGAGAAGACAGGCAAATGAAGCGACATACAGTTGCTTGACACTGATATCATAGCGATCCATGAAGAGGTCCAGTAAGTAGATAGCGAGATGCCGAGCTGTAGGGCAGAGACTGCAACGGTTGCTGAGGACGGTCAAGAGATCAATGAAGTAACGGCGCATCCCAATCTGTGGTGAATGGGCCTTGTACAGAGGCAGGTTACGTTCCTATAGGGAGGGGAGAGAGGGGGGTAAGGAGGAAAGTACTGAAACATCCCATTGAACCATCAGGAATCCCTAATGCTCTCCACCTGCTATGGAAAACGTAGCAAAACCAGCACTGTGATGGAAATCAGGGCTGAATTACTGCATGTGTAACAGCCAATTAACTTCTAGTACTTCGGTCATACTGCACTTTCACCCAGGAACAGCTTGTTATCACTTTCTACAGAACACCAAACTTCTTGGCCATGAAAGCTGTCCCTTAAGGACTTTATTTTCTTCACCTAAAATTGGGTTATTAAGTACTTTTTCATAAGCTAGAACAGCAAGATAAATTTCTCTGATAGTGCCTCTTCCAACTTACTACATTCTATACCAAGAACCATCCAACCAACAAGCACCCCACAGGTCTGTAGCATGAAGAATTTCTAATATTAAAAAAAAACATTGTGCACAGCTGCAATAAGTAGACATTAACAAGAAAAATAATGAGAGACTTGCAATTACGGCCAATTTAAGCATTTTTCATGCTGATGTGTTTCAGCAATATAAAAATTAACCTCTGAACTTGCAAAATGTTTCATATGTGATATAGAAATTTTAGTTTTAAAGGTAGAATTACTGAAGTTTTTTGGTCTACCTATGCTATCCCTTCACCTGAAAGCGTTTCATACAGATTTGTAGCCACAGTGTGAGGGAGGGAGTGAAGATCCTGGGGAGCACCCACAAGCAAATGCCACTTTAGTGTTAAGCAGCCAGACTTAAATTGAAATGGACTGAATGCATGTGGGTAAACATAGATAAAAGCAAGCAAACTATATATATATATATTTTTTTTTTTTTTCTCAACATGGTGCACATCAGTAATTCAGATTCCACTTTTAGATCATTTTTGTATTGCATGCATTTGAAAAGGAACTAGAATCTGCATAGCGCTGCGAGATAAACGTGTCTTATAGCAGAACACAAAGTAGTGCATAGAGCAGTAATTCTACAAAACAAACACAGAGTTGAACAGATGAGATCAGAGGAAGCATCCACGCTGGTGTGCTGCTTGCAGAAGGCACCTCCCTGCACAGCTGGAGCAGTGCCTGCCCACACTCTCCCATCTCCCTGGAGGAAGCATTCCGTGAAGAGGTTCAACTTGTCAGGGGAAAATAGCTGCACAGTCAGGCTCAGAGGGGTGCACATGACTGGAAACCAGAGAGGCTTGTTACCAAGAAGCAGCTCACAAAGACAGCAAGCTGGGCACTGTTACAGATGATTGCTTACCAACCCTTTTTTTATTTCCTCTGAGCTGAACAGACACATGCTGCAGACAAGCAAGAAGCCCTTTGAAACCTGGGGCAACCTTCACTGGGGGATTATAAAAAATACCCCTTCTTATAAAGAAGGGAGGCAATGGAACACGACCCCCACATTGTTTTATGCCCAAAAACACACCATAATGCCCACCACTACAACCGCCTTACATACCAGGATATCAATCCATCAATAGGACACAGGTTGAGAGCAAGAGTTCATAATATACTCACAACCTAAGCATTCTGGAAGAAATTATTTCACAGTGAAAAGAATTGCATTTGTGTTAAATGTCAGTATAAAGTCCAAGCTATGATAAGATCAGGTGGAAATTCAATCTCTAAAACATTTTTTCTTCCTGATGACTAATAGGAACGTCAAGTTTTACTTTTTGAAATGTTTCTGGCTTACAAACAGTTAGATCTCCCAGCAAAATTATGCTCTCTAGATATATCAGATCTCAGCATATGTATTTAATATGAAACTTCCTGCATGGACCAGAGTTATGGTTGGCAAGTATATAGTTCCTACACAAAGTGAGAAGCTCTATAAACACAGCTATTGATATGCATTCCTTTCCTCCCCAACCTCCCCTCACAGGGTTATTTAGCACCAGTCCTCCAAGAAAAAAATTACTTCTTTGAACACTAAAAGTGTTTGTAACAAACCTTTGTTACTTTAGGGATACTGGTGCACAACCAGCAGCTAAAAGTCTTAGAAGAAAAAAAAAGTCTTTCAGGAAGCAAGAATAGAATAATTTCCCATGCTTAGGATTTTCCTCTATCTCCAGTAAAGCAATAGAGAAGAAGCTAGGAGCTCTGCTGTCTGCTGGTCCTTTCAGATGCTGCTGCTTACCTCATGCTGCTCGCTCCTATCTCCCTCCACCACCTGGCTGTGGCTGCTGGCAGCCAACGCACTGAAACACTGAACAGGGCAGCATGGGCTCTCATGCGGCTCCGGGCTGACCGACTGAGCTCCTTCAACAGTTATTGGTCAGTGTCTCAGCTAAAAGCCTCCAGGCAGGCAGAACACAGCGTTTGGGATGATTGCCACTTATCACGTTTTGAGACAAGTAAGGCTTGCAAGAGTGAGGTTGTGCGTGGGCTGAAAGAGAAGCAGCTTTAAAGGCAAAGTCAATTATAAGCTGGCTCCTATCAGCTTCAAAACCTGACCTTGTAAAAGAAGGGAATCGGTGTAAACATGTTTAAGTGGTGCTAAAGATGACAAATCTTCAGCAGTCAGAGCTGAAGTGTAGCCAGGCTCAGGGAGTTCCCAGGAGGTAACCTGACTGATTCCTGCACTGCTCATTGACCCAAAGAACCAGGCTTCACCTATGGGTCAGCTGGCTTCACAGTAGGGCTGAGCAAAGCCTTCTGAGCTACCCCAGAGGAGATGCTGAGCAACAAGCAGAGTAAGTGAACCTCATGAAGTTTAGGCTCCTTGAGCTGGACTAGCCATCCACAACTGAAGAGGAGAAGAAGGAAATTGAGCACGATGATGTCCTCCAGCTCTCCTACAGCAGTTGCTCCATGCCCCACTCAGTGTGGTCAGAGCACTACACCATAGTGCTTGGGTGTTCAATACAGCAAGAAGTTGCATCCCATTTCCTTTCAGCACAACTCCTGCTCCCCAGATTTAAAGCCAGTAATAAACTGACAAACAGCAGAAAACTTACAAGTTAGCAAGTGATGTGACATTACAGTAATAACTCCTACTAAGAATGATCAGTTCTCAGAACAAAAGTGAAATTCATCAACTCGCAGACTCCTCAACAAAGGAAAAGTGAGCCTCTATGACAAACATTCCTCAGGTTCTGACATTCATAAAGATGTTAACTGAATCTGCTTCTCTACCACGTCTTCAGCCTGGCTCTGTTTTCCCATGGATGAATCATGCAGCATCCCCTGACTCCCTGTGGCCATGCAGGCTCAGGGAAAGGCAAAGATAAGCGACAGTGCAGTGTTCTTCAGGTACAGCCAGCAGGATGCATTTCCTCTCACAGCAAAAATGCATCGTAAATGCCTCCAAAACAGCCAAACTTGCTTTGTCTGGGCAAGCACAAGCCGTGCTGTCTTGTAATACAGGCTAACCTTTATACCTGTTCAAATTTACAGTGATTAAGGTCAGTAGAGGATTCAATGTGATCTGTGGTATGTAGACAGTTAAATTAAGATTCAGTCACACTATTAAGATACCATTAAAAAAAAAAAAGCATCAGAGCAGAACCATATTTCAACTGTGCTTAAAATCATTTTGATCTTATTCAGCCCTTCAGCATCCTTACAGCAGTCTGAAATTTTTGAAATTTGAGGGAAAACCAGACTGCTGTTGTGCTTGAAAAATGCATCACTTCCTGTGTTCCACTGTAGTGTATTATCAAACATTTCATTAAGACCTTTTTACACAATTCAAAGCATTCAGAATTCAGCAACTGATCTGTGCAGGATCAGAAAAAGAAGTGTGAAAATCAAAATTCCAACTTGAAGGAAGGAAGGAAAGAAAGAAAAAGGTCATGAATAACCATGTACTTTACCAGAACACCTGTTCCTTTCAGCTCCATGCATATGCTGCCATCTACAACATAAGCAAGCTACAGCTAGAGGCCAGTAATGCTATTGTCAGTGGTTTAAAAAAATAATCTAGCTTTTGAAGTGAACAGATTATGCTTTGTTGCTGGACTTCCAGTTTTGGGAAAAGCCTGATATTAGTAAGCCTCAATGCCTTCTAACACCTTCTTTTCTTACATCTGATTCAAAGTGGAAAAGCTCATCAGAATGAAAGGTTAATGCTTTATCCTCTTGATTAATTGAAGTGAGAGTCCAAACCCTTTTGAATGCCCCAGGTATCCAATTCCCCTGAAGTTCTCATCTAGAGTTCTTTAAAAAAAGAAAACAAACTCCACACCAGAAGCACCACCTGCACAGTGCCCCATTGCCTTCCCTCTTCTGCAGCACAGCCCATGGGGCCCGCGCCAATCCCACCTCCAGGCAGTGCCAGGCAGATCTGAGCACATCGCACTTCCATCAGTACTCGCTTAGCGTTGAAGGGATCACAAGTTTTTAAAATAACAAGGAGAGTGGATTCATTGGCTGGAAGACAAAACAGTGCCTGTTACATCATGAACTGATGTGATGCACCTAGAGGAACTCACCCAGACATATCTACCACTTAAAGGACTGTTTGCTTTCAACAGGAAGAAGATCAGCGCTCCTCACAGGGAGTTACTTACAGACATTTGGACCACCTTTAAAGAGATCACATTACAATATTAACTTTTTAAATACATAAAGAAAGGTCCTGCAAAGTTCGGCCCTGCTCTGAGAAGCCATGCAAGAGATGAATAAAAAGGAAATGCAGACAGATCCAGTTATTCTCATTAATTGCAAGAAATGAACATATCCTGAGAGGAAACAGCCCAACGCAGTGCAGCAACAGGAGAGGAACAGCAACCAGACATCCCTCCATTTTCTGGGACATTCACACTGCCTTCTGAAGTACAGGATTTTCTCTAACACCAAAAACAAACCACCACACACTGACTTGTTACTCTGCTTTTCACACTTACTGAGTATTTCGAGCTACTAAAGAAGAGAGCTTTGTAAAGGTGCTGCAGGAGTTCCATTTCCATTCAGAAAGCTCAGACTTTCAGCGTGGGGCAGCAGCCTGGACCAATCAGTACCTTTCTATCATCACCTATTTCTGCAATGGCCCTACGTTATCACAGCACTGATATTTCATAGTTGGACAATTCAGGGGCTATTGATTTCCTCCACGTTGAGACGGAGCCTTCAGGGAGCAGCATTTTTCAGCTGTCAGAATGAGAAGCCAGGTATAGCCCACACATTCAGCATCTGCTCTCATGCAGAACGCATCCATCAGAACAGTGCACAACATCTGTCACTAAGCAGCCAACTTCTAAAGAGATTAACAACAACTTCCATCCAAGGGGGTGGGAATTACACTTCTTGCAGTTAACATAAAAACTTGGTTGTTTCCATTTGCATCTCAATCGCTTCTAGTGTTCTAGGAAGAGCTGCATCACCTTTCATTCCTCACCTTAAACAGATTTAAATATGTACTTAAAAGAAGCAGGACAGCCTGCAGCCTACATTTCAACATCCTTGACAATTACTAAATAACTTTCCTCTCATACTCACATGCTCCAACTAAGACCTGTTTCTTCTGACCCAAGACACGGACCGACCGGCCCACACTAAGACTCTTCAGAAGGCACCTTAAAGCAGGGAGGTCACTCAGGCTGAAGGTACCATTGCATTAATTCTTCGCATCCCATCATCAATAAGGCAATGCACTAACAGTGCACTGACACACGACAGCTCAAGTGGAGATGCAGCTACTGAAGCTTATTCTCTCTACACGTTTGCCACAGGCATCCTCAGCCCATGCTCACAAAGCTGTCAATGCTCATCTTCCCAAACTTTGTTGTCTGGTCCTTTTGAGGAGATTTGTGACATTCTTTTTAAAGTCCTGGTGCTTCTGACATTGAAAAAAAAAAAAAAAAAAAAAAAAAAAACTAAAAAAACCCCCAAAAACTCAGCAATACACTTCAGAGTAGTTTTTGCAGGATATTACTTGAAGAAGGAAACAAAGAGTGAACCAAATATTAGTCTTACCACCTGCAATTATTTTTTCCCTCTACAGTGGCACCCTGGATTCTCCTTTAGTACTTTGAGAAGGAAAGAAGTCATCCTTGTAAGGTGGGCAGAATTAGTACACAAAGTGCCCCAAACCTTCCTCAGAGCTGAGGAAGTGCAGCCCAAAGACCCTTCTCCCTCTTTGAGGGCTCTTTACATCATCTCAGCCGGCCTACATCCATAAACAAAGGAGAGGTTTTAGGAACCTAGAGTGGCAAGATGCATCTGGAAAGAAGTCTCAAGAATGAAATGGTTGTTTAAAAGGCAGCAGATACACTGAATTAACAAACACACCAGAAAGTTATCCCCGGCCCCTTCACACCCCGGCACTGGATGCCTGCCATTCCTCCCACCCCATAGAAGGGACCTGGCCCACTCAGAACCTGGATCTGGGAACACTGCATCACTTAACACCACTTATTGCTCAATGGCGGTAAGGAACATCCAAAGGTAACTTCATTACCCATAGCTTTGCTAACATCAAGCTGGGTTACATACAGGCAGTCACTATGTGCTGTGGACTGGCTCTCGTGCCCAACCACCTGCGTTTAGGGTTTACTTCTACTTACTACTTTGGAAATCTACCTAAAGAAACAGCAGCTTTAATTTTACCTGCCTTCAGTAAAAGCACGCTAAGTCTTAAAAGCAGTGCCTGACTGTTTTGCTTATTGCAAGACGTACAGTTGGCTTTCCAATCAACACTGAACTTCTAGAAATAGCACCTCATGCCCATTTGTGCACATGCCCGCTCCCGTACAGCCCTCCTGGGCACGACGTCCCAAATCTTAGCGCTTATCTGTGCGCAGAGAAGCAAAGCCGTTTCTCCAGATCCTGCAACACGCTGACACAGGACAACACCCGCATCCTCCCAGCGTCTAATAGAACAAGTCCCCACCCCGGCTAAGTTACAGAGTCACAGCTACCGAAGAGCCGCAGGTTCTCCAGGCTGCCGTTCGCTCAGGGCTCACTTTGAACAAGTTTCGATCGGAGCAGCGCCCGGCAGCCCCGCTGAAGGCACAGCGCGGTCACCGCAGCACAGCCCTTCTCCTGGGGAGGGCACAACGGAGAGCAAAGCTGAGGGAAAGGAACAAAGCGGGAGCAAACCTTCGTCCTCAGGGTCTGATGGATGTCTGCCGCCAGCTCCCCTTTCCACCACTGCTCCTCCATCCTTTTTCTTCCCATCCAGACAAAGCTCTGGGAGGCGGACGGGGCACCACCGGGACGGAGAACAGAGCGGAAGAGCCGTTTTCGCCGGCCCCCGCACCTCCCGCTGGCACCGAGCCCCCCCCCGCGCTGACCGCTGCGGCCGCCCCCCTCCGCAGCCGGCGTTCGGGCCGGCGGAAGCCCCGCGGCCGAGAGGGGAGAGGAGGGGAAAGAAGACAGCGGGAGGACCGCCGCCCGTCCGCCGACGCGGCTCTGGGGTTAATGGGCTGTAATTAACAGCTGCCCGCCCCGGCGGGACGCCGCCGACCCCTCCGCGCCGCCGGCAGCGGCACCTGCGCGCTCCTGGGGCCCCGCGGGGGGAGCGGATCCCCCGCCCTGCAGGCGCGGCACCGACGGCACGTGGCTGCCCGGCTCCGTGCGGGCAGAGCCGCTCCTCGTGCTGGCGGCGGCGCTCAGCGAGAGTCCGCAAGTGAGGACGGGAGGCGCGGGCTTTGTCCTCGTTCTGTGCTTCCTCACCTCCAGTTGCGGGGACGTGCAGGCGGCGTGACCTGGCTACAGTTTCAGCCTGGATGTCACCGCTTTGCCGCGGGGCCCATTTCCACATCCCAGCTTGACGCTCGAAGAGCCCCGGAAAAGAAGATCACCGTACAGCCTGTTCTATACCAAAACCTCACCGCTGATCTGTTCAGGATGAAATTGCCACAAGCGAGTTCCCCCGGCCTAGCAGCAGCTTTCCCTTCTTGGGAATTAGACCCCAGTTTCAGCATTCATTTTTGGGGGCTTTGTCTGTCAGTCGTCCTGCACAGGACTTTGCAAAACAAACAAAAAAAACACTCGTTTTTTTCTTTGGTTTCCAAACAAACAAACACAACACAGAAAACCTGCATGCTTTGCTTCCATTAAAGTTACTATCTTGGTTGATTTTACCGTTCCTGGGAAAATGCTTTCATGATCAGAAAAGAAAAGCTGCTGAGCGGCTTTCTGTCTTGGCCCTGCTGTAAAAGCCAAGCAATGAAGTTAAGTAGCAGCGCCCATTAAACCCGCAGATAAAAGCTGCCACCAAGTGTCCGTCAGAAACAATTTTCCCCTATTTTCTTTCAAGTACATCTAATTACGCCACTGTCCCTTAAACAAAGTACTTGAGTGCCCTAATTTAAGCAACGAAACCACTTTTTTTTTCCCTCTTTTCATTTAAAACTGAATACATACTTAAAAACGTGTTGAACAGCAGTCTGAGAGTTTCCTTACAAATAACCCATGTGATTCATACAGCACTGTATTCATTTGCTATTAGGTTTTTTTTTTTTTTTTTTTAACCTCTAGGTTATCTGAACACTATTATCAACTTTAATACTATTGAATAACGTTGTTCTAAAAATTGAGCCCAGTTACAGTGTAATTTTTCCATCTGAACCATGGGACCTTTCAGGACAAGCACACATTCTGGTACAATGGGTACAGCCATGGTTAAAACACAGGCTTCAGCCACATCAGAACTGTGTGTAATAAACTTGCGAGCAGTTTATCAAATAGTCTGAAAAAGAACAACAACAACAAAATCGCAGGAGAATTCCCAAAGTAAATAGACTTACTGAGAGTTTACATTCTTTTAGAGAAACTTCATGTGAATCTATCTATGAATAAGGCACAGCTGGGTAAAGCACAGATACAGTCACTGAGTGATGCAGACCTAGTTTCAAGTCACTGATGTCATCAGCATTATGGAGGTTTTCTTTAAGAACCAGTTTAAATTGAGCAAATGAGCAGCTTTCTCACTACCCCACCATTCTGGACGTTATAGCAATAAAATGCATTCAGGATGAATAAAGTTACCTGACAATAGCTAAGGTACAAGCCTTCAGTCTAACAGGGCTCAGGCAACCTGTATTTCACCTGCTGGCACAGCGAGCTTCAGCTGGGAAAGAACACAGTGGAAATGCTGCATTGCAGAGGCTGCACCTGCATCAGTCAGCAAGGAGCTGGAGCGCTCTTGGTGGAAAAGAACGGGCTTCTGAAGTCCCATGCACAACACAGAGCCCACGGCTGTGCTCTGCAGCTCCAGCTGTTCACCCCCACCTGCTGCCGGAGGCAGATAGGAGCTGCTCTGGTGCTCAGCAGGGGGTGAGTACAAGAAGAGAGCACTGGTGCCTGCCCAGATAGCCCTACAGGGCTCCTCCTTCCATAGGTGGGCAGCCCAGGTTGATGCCACTCAGGTGCTCCACATTTCACCAAAATCCCAAAGCCAGATTGTATCAGCAGCAGTTTGAGCAACAATTTCAGCCAGTTTGAGTGCTTTCACCAAATTGATGTGGTGGTTTTCTTCTACTGAAAGAAGAACTGATTTTCCTTCTTGCTGGTTCTCTGTATCTATCTGTGTTTTCCTATCTCTCTTCTTCACTCTGCTCCTTTGTAGCTCTGTCACTCAGCATGCATTTTTCACTACGTGACCCATCTCATTAAACCTAGTCTTTCTGTCAAGGTAACTTTCTGTAAGTTGTAGCATTCCATAGGCTCACAGGGATCTGAAGCAAGCACAAAGCAAACAAGAAGAGCAGCAAGATGTAAGCATGATTTCTTCCTTCAGCAGTGTTCACTGCTGTAGTGGGACTTGCAGAGAGGCTGTCCTGTCCCCTCACCTTTAAACACTCAAAAAAAGAGATTTGTGACTCTGGGGGTACAGCACTGGCTGTGGTAAATGCTGGGGAGGTCTGTGGGCTCTCTGCTTCCCAGCAGCCTGGTGTACCTCAGTTCTGTGCCCAAGAACTAATGCCCAGCCAGGCCCCCAGGATGTCCCTTTGAACATGCTATAGCTGAAGCATAGGAACTTCCTTGTTCCTCCTTCTAGCCACCAGCTCGTGTGGAAATTGGAAACCCTGTGAAAGTGTCCTCCCTTGTAGGAGTCTTCCCCTTCCTGACCTGCCTGTCAAGCACCTGGGGATGTGGTCTCTCCAGCACATGCTCATTGAAAATGCCTCAAGCTGAGGTAATTATGGGGTTGTAGCAGTACAAGAGCAGCTCTTGGGTGACAGCCCTGCTATTATTTTCCCTGCAGTAAAATACCCTGGTGCCACATGTGAGGGCAAGGCCAGCCTCTGCGTCCCTGTGCTGGGCAGGGGTGCTGCACCAGGAGCTGGGGGGTGAGGGGCTGGGGATTTGTGCGGCTGCAGTCACAGGTCTGTGTCATCCACAGGGCATGCTGCAGCTTCTGCTGCTAGGCCGGGTTGCTTCAAGGGCAGAAACACTCCCTGGCAACGCAGCAGTGCACAGCCAGGTAATTGGTACACAGCTACTTGAGGCAGGTTCTCCTGGGCCTTCTTGGACTCCCTAAGGGAAGATGTGATGGAGACTGGAAGGCTCTGCTCAGCTGGAGTGAGCTGCACAGTTCGGTGATGAAGGTGGGAAGGAGAAAGCTCTGTGGTGGTGGAGAGGAGTTCACATGGTAATGAAACTCTTTGACCCCATGGAGAGGACCTGTGTCTGTGTTTTCATAGCTGCGTCTGTGCTGGCTTCTAATGAACCACGAGATGAAACAGCTGAGCTGTCATTGCTAACTGATCACTGAGGGCAGGTGTTGCACTCCCTGTTTTCACCTGGTATGCTGAGTTCCTAGAGGGACCTGCTTGTGACAAAACTTGGTGCACAAAGCAGCCTAGGGCAGCTCTGGTGTTCACAGTGGAGAAGGTTGCTGCAGTGTAACAGGAGTTGTTTGCATCCACTGCCCTCACACAGCATCCTGCCTCAGCCAGGACATTCCTCCCTCCTTCCTGATAGCATCTGCCCACACATTTGCCTAGCCAAGACATTCCCAGCTCTGCTCCCACAGTAATGGAGGTGCCGGGAGCTGCCTGGGCTGGGGTGAGCAGCCTGCGTGGGAGCAGTTCTCTCTTGTGACAGCTTGGCTGTGAAAGCCAGAGTTCTTTACTTGGTGTTATTCCAGAAACTCCATATTCCTGGAAAAAAATCTTATGCAAATCTCATTTTTCTTTAAAAACAAAAACTACAACAACAACAAAAAAACAATCAACAACAACAAAAATAAGTACACGTAAAAACCGAATGAATAGCTGTTTGGCTGGAGAAAAATGGAACTGCAAACTGAACTGCAGCCTGAAGATGCGAGAGCAAGCCAGAATGTATCATTTCTGAAATGCTCTGAAGCCTGAGCCAGTTTCTTGAAGAGAGGAAAAAACACCCCAAACTCAATGTTCCCATGGTCAGCCCTGAGATAACCCCGGCGCTGCTGCCCTCCCCTCCCTCCTCTCCTGGGGGAGGCAGAAGGAGGGCAGCCCACGGCTGCTGGAGGAGATGCTTGTGCAGGTTTGTGCTGAGCAGAAGCCATCTTGGTCAGCATGCAGGCTGCCTTGGTTAATCTTAAAACATGCTAGGAAGAGATAAATCTTTTTCAGCGCAATCTGTGTACTTCAAACAACTGTGCCTCTTTCGCAGACATAATTGATGTATGATATCTTTTGAATGACTGCAGTGCAATCGGAGGTTAAACAACTGGAAGAAAACAGTCCTCTCCCTTCTGCCTGCTGTATGTTATTGGCTTGAGCTTTCTCTTCTGATTCCTTGATGGCAGCAGATCCACAGAGCTGGGGCTGAGCTGTGCCCACAGAAGCAGCACTGTGACTTGGGGCAGCTCCCAGGGGTAGATGTGGGTGTGTTGGAGCCAGAGCTCCAGGTCAGCAGGGAGGGCCTCATAGCCCCGGACAGAAAGCAAGCTCTGTGCTAGTGAGTGCTTAGCAGGGGGTTTCTTTATAACTTGCATTTTGATCTTCGGAATTTGAATGCATTTGCATGTTTTCCTTTTCACTAGATCAAAAAACGATGCTTTGCCAGAGAGTTAATAACTGCCATGGCTTCACATCTGGGGAAACCAGCTAGAGGGCCCCTGAGAGGACTGACGGTGGGGAAATGCTCCCTGTTGGGGCTGCTGAGATAACGGGACAACTAGGAGTCCAGCCCTAGGTGCTGGTTGGCAGTGCAGCTGTGCTAATTGCTGACTGCTGCTTCCCCACCTCAGTCTTATTCCCTGTGGTGCTCTGCCATTCCCTCCCAGCTCTGGCACCTGCCTTGTACCAACTGGGTTCAGCAGTAACCCATTGGGAAACCAAAATGAAAATCATGCTGGGGATGGTTGATTGGAGAAATTGAGGGCAACAAGATGGCAGTCCTGCCACCCCCTGGGGCTGTTGGTGGAAATGCAGGGCTGGGCACTGAGAGAGAAAGGCAATGCTTGAACTGTTGCTGCCTGCAAAATGCAGGCCAGGACATACTAAATGAGGGCATTGCAAAGGAAAGTACATTATTTGCACAGCAACTGCTGGGAAAGGACCTCTGCCAGCGGGCTGAGCAGCTACTCGGGAATGTATAGACCCTGTTCCACCTTGTAGAAGGCCTTGCACAGAGAGTAAAAAAGTGTGTGCTCCCTGGCTTGTAGGGTTGGGAGGGAGGAAAAACACTGGTGGCATCCGGCCCTACAAAATCCGTCACTGAAACTGGCAGCGTCTGTGGAATCTGTAACAGTTTTGAAATAATTTCAGGAAAACTGCTTAATAAGCATCAAGGATGTTGCAGTGGTAGTTTTGTTCAGCTTTATTAAAAAAAAAAAAAAAGTATTTGAAAAGGTTTTTGTAAAATATAACACATTCAAAGTTGTTCACAAAATCATGCAAATACAATGACTTGTAGAAGTAAGGTTAATATATATATATCTTAATTTGTTCTTTCTTAATTTGTTCTTCTGGGCTCAACGTCTAAATGTGCAAATGAGAAGAACTGGAAATTGATACAAGTTTTTGTGTTGCAGTAGAGAATACAAGAAATATGACTGTGGGAACCAAGCAGATGTGTCAGATATTGAGGAAAACTCCTTCCCTCTGACCGCAGACTGACTTCTGGTAGTGAGCAGCTGCACACACTGGGGCAAGGCAACTGGCTGAGCAGCCATACAGCTGGAGAGCTCTTTGCTGTGATTATAATGCTCCATTTGGGAGCATATCCCTGTACGGCTGCTGGTTGAAATGGACAAAAATGCAAAGCTCATCATAGCAAGACCAAAAAGCTCACCTCTGGCCTTTTCTGCCTTGTTTTTCTTTTTTGTACAGTTTAGAACCACTATGTTAAGATTGGATCATCTGTAACATTTGACATACAAAACCAAAAAAGCAAAGCACGTCATTAAGACAGAGTCTATCTGCAGCATTAAGCCTGTGAGGAGCACCTCAGCAGCACCATGAGTATTTCCTTTCAGCAAAAGCTGGCAGGGATGGAGGAGTGGGATTTGATGCACCTGTTTCTGGAGTGAAGGTTCACGCTTTCTCTCTAAAAACTGAGTCTTATCTGCAGTGTTGCTCTCCACCATGGACCAGAGGCTGGCAGGTATTGGGCTTGCACAGCCAATGTCAGGTTCTGATCACAGCTTTTTGACGCTCATCTGAAAGCAGATGCAATACTCAGCACTGCTTTGTTGTGGCTGAACTCTGAGCAACACCAGCAGAGCTCGATTCGACAGCGTGTGTCTTAGCAGAAGTTTTACCTTTAGCCTTAAATGAGCTCTTTTCTTTGTGTCCTATTTAAACCGGATGCCGTTGCTTATTAGTACTGCTTTGATGAGGCTGAAGGTTGCTGGTACTTTTGTAACGGCAGCTGATAATTTCCTGACTTGTAAGTAGCTGGTAAAGTGTAGTAAGTTTTATTATTATTATTATTATTGAGGGTGGCAGAAGGAGGGGCACTGATATAATCTCCAACATCAATGGCACTTATAAGCTCAGTTTTCTGGAAATGGTTTTTGGTCTCTATGCATTACAATAATATAAAATCAAAACATTCTGCATCAGTATTTTGAGTTACGTGTCTGTGGTATGTTTGAACAGTAGGAAAACATAGCGGCTGGCTTCCAGGATTACACAGTCATGAGGTCACTTAAAGGTAGGTCCTAAAGATCATGATATACTTCATGGACTAGTTGGAGACATCAAGTAAATATCTGTATTGCCAATATGGGCTGTTAGTGCCAAAAAAGTGAAATAATATCACACATGTCCATGTGCAGGCTACATTTTGGTAGACTGAAGTTGCATCCGTTTCTTATTTGTTTCTCACTCTATATTTCATTGAGATAATCTTGGTCAGGGTAGATCAGGAAGCCAGTAAATAAGCTGTCTGTCCAGTAGGGATCATAAAAGAGCCCATTTTGTTCAGAGTAAAAGATCTGCAGCCACACCTCGTCCTCTTGCTTCAGAGAGAGAATGGTTGATCCAGAGGCAACGTCGTGGTTCCCAGTATTGGCGTCGAAAGTCTTGATCCGGTACTGCCCGTTGTGGACCAAGCCGATGGCCAAATGTTTGTTGGCCAAAGTGATATCATAAGTGAAGTAGTAAATACCTGGGATGCTGCATATGAATTTCCCACTGGAAGCATTGTAATGTCCTCCCTCATTCATCAGGATCCTGTCAAATTTGATGGGGAGCCTTTCTCTTGGGTAGCTCTTAGAGACTGCTACAGAGAAGGCAGATTTGGCTTTGTTGGCATTGCAGGTGCAGGGTCCTGGCATCCCAGTCTCACCTTTGTTCCCTTTGGGTCCTTTCTTTCCTGGTGCTCCGTTTTTTCCAGGATTACCCTTTAAACCCTTTGGTCCTCGTGGGCCTGCCTTGCCAATGGCTCCTGCTTTCCCCTTTGGTCCCGGCTTGCCTGGGTTTCCTGTTCTGCCCTGTGGACCTGAAAGACAAATAACCTTGTAAACTCTTTAGTGAAGGTTTAATAAGTGGAAAGGGGTTGTTATCATTGCAGCAGTATGTTTTCATTTGGGAGGAAAATCGTAGTGGTAAGAAACCAATGAAATACCACCTGGGGCTGGACACACGTCAGGTCATAAATCATGTAAATACTGGGATTTATGCTGTGTCTTATTATCTGCCATAGCAAGGGTAGATGGCTGTGAGAGGAAATGTTCTCTAGATTCCCTGTTCTGACTGTGAGAGAAGATGCAGCACTGGCACACTGGCATTATGCTGAACCAGGAGTGCACTCTAGTGTGGTGATGGGAAATCACTGCCTTCTGCCTCCAGCTGGCCCTGATGCTCACAGTGAGGACTGATGGAAAAAAGAGCCCCTTTGCAGGACCAGAGGAGGGTGGATGTGTGCTTTGATTTTAATGGAGCACGGTCAGAGCAGTGCCTGACCCTCAGTGAGAGTGCTCCAGGGAATCAGTGCTTAATTTTTCATTTGATTCTGTTTCCCTTAAAAGCAGGAATCAGAGATCAGTGTTTTGTCTCTCACATAACGTGTGTGTGTCAAAACGGAAGATCTCTCTCCACAGGAAATATGCATCAACAAAGAGAAGAAGAAAATAATTACATGCAGCATTACAAATCTATCAGCAAACAATATGTTTTGGGAGGTTTTGGCACGGGTTTGGGGGTGATGTTTGAAATACTTTCTATTGCCGCTTAGGCTGATTAGACCTTCAAGGATTCGATATTGTGAAAATAAAAGTATCCACCTGTTGCTGTGGCAGCGCTACGTGGGAGCGCCTGGACACAGTGCGAGAATCCAAAACTCACTGGCAAGATCTGAGAAGAGGAGAATGTGAAGAGGAGGAGGCTGAATTCCTGGAAGTGTCTCATGAGATGTAGCCTGCTCTGAGGCTTGCATGTGGGATGACAAGTTGATGTTAACTGGGCTGTTGCACTCATGCTTTTACGTTTTACCCTTGCTTTGCAAAGAAGCTCTTCCCTCTTACCTTCATCACCGTGATCGCCTTTGTCCCCATCCTTGCCGTCCTTGCCATCTTTCCCTGGGAAGCCCATCCTGCCAACTGTCCCCGGAGTCCCAGGTGCACCAGGAGGGCCGGGAGGCCCGGGGGGACCCGGCAGGCTGCACGTCAGCTGGGGGCCTTCCTGCAGCGCTGCCTTGGCAAAGCCCCCGAGGATGTGGTTGGCCACGCAGGGCACAGTCCAGAGGAGGAGGACGGCAGAAATCATGGCACAGCCTGGAGAAACGAGATGGGGGCTCAGCTGACCCGTGTGTGGGTGCAGCATGGTGCCCTCTGCCAGGGCTCTGTGAAAATGGGGCACAACTGAGATCTTTCCTTTTGGCAGGATGGGGGAGTTTTTTGTTTTGGTGTGTTCTCTCTTACCTCTTCGCTCCTCTTTGCCCTTTGCTGATCCTGCTTTTCCCCCCAGGAGCTGAGCAATGATGGCAAAGAGGTACAGAAAGCAGGTGCCCTGGACTAACAGAGCAGAGGAAAGAAAAACTGGGGAAGCTCACACCAAAGCTCTGAGATATGCACTGCTGTTGCATTGCTGAGTCTATTACAGGGTCCAAGCACAAATTCTAGGGTGATGTGGGGCTGAGTTGAGTTGTGGAAGCCTGGGGACAAGTCAGTCAAGGAAATTCTTAATGTGGTTTGCCTGACAGAATGCACTGAGCTTCTGCTAGCTGAGGACACCTGCTTGGGGTTCCTCTTCTTCATCATGCTCAGCTGCACTGCCTGCAGCCAGGATCAGCCCTGCTGCAGCCACCACTGCTGTGACCTGCGTTGCTGCAGGATCTTGTGGCTCTCGCTCACCTTGTAGATGGATGGCCATTAACAGCACTGTTTGCTGCTTTTCTCCTGGCTCGACCATAAGCCATTGCTTTAGGTCTAGAATATGGCAAGGTTTGTTTTACTTTTTTTTGGAGCAGCCTTGCCTCTGCCTTCATTGACAGAGGAGGCTGATCATCCTGGGCTTGTCTGACTCCCCTCCTGGACAGATTTCTGATAGGAAATCATTTCTAGAATAAAACTATTCCTGTGGAACTGTTAGTGATGCAGAGCAGTTATCATGCAGTAACACCTCCCTCTGGATGTCTGCACATGAGCTGTTTGCTAAGAGCTGCACAGAGTAACCCCACTGCATCTTAAAATGGTGCTTGGGGTGGCAGCTTAGGGAAGGTGCTCAAAATCTATCTGACTGACAGGAGCTCATCTTCATGCACAACCTGCCTGAGACTCTGAATGTCAGAAGAGAGTAAAGTAGACTTTGCATTGGTTCTGCATCTCATTACAGATATACTTAAAAGGAGGATTTCCCCTAGGTGTCAGTTTCTGGCAGATGAACGAAGATCCTCTTGCCATCCCCTCCCAGCTCTGGAGGATGCTATGCATTTGGTGGTGTCCAGGTTGAAGATTTTCTCCTTCTCCTGCCATTGAGGGAGATCACAGCCATGAGCTGCGGGCACTGACCATGTACTGAGGGAAATGCTTTTGGTGTTGTTTTTTTTCCCAGTGGTCTCAGTGTGGAAACAAGCTGGTGGGGGATGGAAGGCATTCCCTGCCTCAGTTTCTTTCTTTGACCTTCTGTAGTTGGAGTAGCTCTTGGAGAAATGAGACAAAACCTAAAACATCTCTGTCTGGTTCACTGTTTTCTCAATCGCTCCATGATCAAGAGAGATCAAGCCAAAGGAGTAGGCATGTATCACTTTGATACAATTCCTGAGCTCCAGGCTGAGGTGCACACTTTTATTTGGTGGCAAAGTCTCTATGAAATGCAGTCTTTACCTTCACTACAGCTACCCTGCACTGGAGGAGGTTAAATATTTTGAAAGGCTCATCCTCTTGCGTGGGCTTTCTTATCACATCTCCAGTCCTGTTAGCTAAATACAGAAGCAGGGATTATGAAGCGAGAAAACTGCATTTCAGATATTTCTTCTTGCTTTGGTGCTGAGGCAAATTTGCAATAGACAGATGAGCTGCATTATCCCCCGTCTTTCATTGGCCTTCTGGTCAGGCAGGATCCTGTGCGGCATGAAGCCAAGTACTGGGAATCTTTAGCATCTCTCTGGCAGCATTATGTTCAATTCCTGCACTGGAAATGAGATGTTTGAAGGATTGCATACGTTTAATGTTGCCTTAGTGCTCCCGCCCTGCTATCAGCTCCTGAAGGGGGTGGGAATGCACATTACATGCTCCAGATCCGGCCAGCAATATGCCATATATAAATGCTGAGTGGGAGCCCCCTGGTTCTGAGAGATGTATAATTAAAAACATGCAGAGGAGTAGGAAATGCAGAACAGATTTCTGAGCTGGTTGTGCCTGCTAAGCCATTTCCTTCGTCTGGGCTCTTTTGCTTTCCTTACACCCAAATTTATTTGCTGGTGAAAAGTGTTGGTTTGATGGCCTTGTGAAACTGAAACCACCAACCAGTATTGATGTGGACAGTTGAAAAAGTCTTCTCACTTTACAGAAATGGAAAAAAGTGCTAAAATGCCTTTGGAGTGGGGAGATGCTAAGGAAAGCTCCATCCTCTCTTCCCAGTAACCACCTCAGATGGAGCAGAAGAGAAGGGTGGAGATGGCTGACTCTGAGCAGTTGTGGCAAGGAGGCATTCCGTTGTGGAACATAACCTGGGGAAAAACATAGATGGGACTGCTTTGTGTGGAGAAGGAATGAGCAGGAGTAAAGCATGGGGCAGAGGGCAGCAAGTTCTCTGGAACTTTCTATTTACCTCCAAGCAGTGCCCCTAGTTAACCCAGGGGGGTAACACACACAGCACCCTGAGGCTGGGAGGTTCAGGTACTGACACATGCACACATGCGGAACATTTGGCCACCTGGGTGTTCTGCATGGCTAGTTTGGGGCTCCACAAGAGCACTGCATCCCACATCACAGCAGTGGCACATTCACAGGAGGATCTATAAATAAGCTTTTAAAGGAATCCCTTTGAAAGAAAAAAAAATCTCCTTCTGTTCCACCTTAAAAGGAAAATTGCATCTCAGTGAAGAACATACAATGAGTTCCAAAAAGCAAATTGGAAACAGACCAGCATCTTTCCTCTCCTCGGTACAAGCAGCAGACCTGGCACCAAAGGCCATGCAGCACATTTTCAGCTGAGGTCTCACTTTTATAGAAACGTTTTAATTAATGCTTTTTGTAATAGGGTTCTGGAGGCTTTGGGCCCTGACAAATCCCTGCTGTGTGGGACTACACCCTGTGCCCAGCACTGTGAGGGCTGATGGCTGAGCGCTGCCTGGAGGGGGAGATGGGACGATTGTGGATGCAGGCAATGCTGAGCTGCTCTGAGGTCAGCGTTGAATGCTGGCAGGTTCATCACTGCTGGGCCATCTATTGGCAGCCTCTGATCTCTGAGAGAGGCTCCAAAACGTGCCGAGAATGTCTGGGTCCTGAGGCGGCAGGATGAGCCACGGGCAGGTGGTGACAGGTACCATCAGCTGGGATTTAGGGACGGTGTGCCCTTCATCCTTCAGCTGAATCCATAAGAACTGCTGCTGTGGGGTCCAGGGCATCCCTTGGGATTGGTGTAGTGTGTAAAATGATGCTGCGGATCCCCATGGGTTCTAGTTCAGTATATGAATAAGCATTAAAAAGGAGCATCTGCAAGAAAAGCTTTTGCCTATGAGAGTGAGCCCCAGGAGCGAAGGAGCGCTTGAACCTCCTGGTGCTTGTGAGGCAGCTGGGCCGAGACCACAGCGGAGGAGAAAGTCTCCTGGGCTTGCTGGTTGTGGTGATGGTTTGGCACCAGGCATAGTGGACAAATGGAGATTTTTGGCAGGGAAGTGGCCTCATGCAATGCGGTGACAGTGAGAGCCTCTGCATGGAGAGGGAAAGCTGAAAAGCATGCATTTAACTTCTGATTAAGCGAGTGAAGTTGCTATAGCTGATATGATCTGCTGCACAAAGTAGTGTTAAAGGAGTTGAGGGAGAACGATGGATCTCCTGCACCAAAAAACCACACCGCCTCTTCTGCTGTCCTTCCCCCGACTATTTCTTCCAACCTGGGCTGTTGTCTTTATGTTTCCTGTGCAGGTGTTGGTAACCTGACTGCGTGATAATTTAGCTCACATTTGCTAAGTCAAGAGAAAGAGGGGGACAAAAAACCAAACCAAACCAAACCAAAACAAAAAAACAGGGAAAAGGAATGTACTCACCCAGGCTTAATCTCTTCAGGGAGGTCTTGACAGGCGCTGGGATTCCGCTCAGCTTGCAGCAGATGTTTTGCTGCAGATTGCTGTCACATCATGGAGCACAAACCCCGTTCTCCTGCCACTGCGTCCTTCCAAGTGTGCTCTGTGGTTCTGACTTGGTGCGTCTTTCTTTTCTATTAATGTTTTTCCCTGTTTTGCATGTATTGCTGGCTTCCCGCTGCAGCTCTACGTTTTGGCTCAGCTTTGCCAAAGGCATATTTTTATTATTGTGTAATGGATCCGAGCTTCTTCCTCTGTCACGTGGCGTGGGCAGAAGTTTTGCACACACATGGCTGGAGAGCTCTCAGTGCCTGAAGAGCCTTTCCCCTTCCTCTCCTCTGCAGGCTGCTGCGGAGCTGGGCCTGGGTGGGTTCTGCTCTGCCATAGCCACTGCCCCTATGGGCAGGGTTTGTAGGGCCGTGGGCAACAGGGATTGATGCTCTTAGAGCATCTTAGATGCATCTTAGAGCACTAGCAAGGGAAGCAAATCTCATGCTGAGGGTGGGAACAAGCTTCTTGTGTATGGAATAATTTAGACGAAGCAGTAAGGATAGATCATTCAGGGCTTGGAGTGAATGACATCCCTGTGAAGCAGCAGCTTTGCAAAAATGTATGTTGAAAGGAGACAGCAGGTACTGCACAGAGGTGCTGCAGGAGGGTGTGTGAGATAAGGCGTGGAGACTGACACTGAGATGATGGAGTGGCAAAGTTTCTGTCTTTGGAAAGGCTGAGGTTTTGCTTTAAGCTTTCAAAGTAATTGCAAAGCCCCAGCAATGGTTGGTGATGAGGCAGCGGTGCTGGAGGTGGTGCTGCAGTGAAAGCTGGCTGCTGTGGGATGCAGTCAGCTGTTGTGGGATGGCAGTGCTGGCCCTGGGGCTGCTCTGTGCCCTGGTGCTGCTGGCCATAGGCACAGGGCCCTGCCTTGCTCAGCACATGTGCTGGCAGCCAGCCCTGAGGCCAACACAGCTGCTGCCAGCCAGTCGGCGCCTGGTGTTCTGTTCAGTGCCGAGGGCCAGCAGAGCAGCAGTGCTCCGCAGGTGCCATTCCTCTTCATGCCACAATTTGTCTGCATCGGAGATCTGATGTGGTTGGGTTTTGTTTTCAGAGTTTTTGGTTGTTTGTTTGTTTGAGTTTTCTGCAGCATTTGCTCTCAGAACATGGTGAGAGCAGATTCAGCTGCATTTATCTGCATTAGAAAGACAACCTATAAACTGAGTGCATCTGCTATTGGTTTTGTGACCTGCAGTTGGTGAGGCTGCTCCTGGAGGGGTGGGGATGTCTTGCTGCTGCCGGGGCACCAATCAATACAGCAGAGCTGTGACAGCATTCAAATACTGCATGTATCTTGCTATCCACAGGCTTCTCTTCCCTGCACCCTGCATTGGCTTTTCCCACCTAAGTGTGAGCAGGTCGTGGCCTTCAGACAGCAGAGCTGGAGAGCATGCTGGCAGCATGTGCTGTAAACCAATGAGCCGCCCCCCTGCAGTGAAGCAGAGCAGCCCTGGCGTGCAGCTCTCCATTCTTTTTCTTTTAATGCACTGCAGGAGACTGTTACAAGAGGTGTATCTCAGCAACAGAGGGTTTTCCTTTGCTGGTTCTTGGAGACTGCACTGTTACAGATGCTGACCTCATGGCAGTGCCTTTATAACCAGACACAAGGAGTCAGACAGGACAGAAGCAGCTGCAGCTGGAGGTGGCTGACAGGTGGCCTCAGGGCGAAGCAGGGTGATGGCTGAGCAGGTTTGTCTCTCTTCAAAGATGAATGCACAGCCTTTGATTTTTTTTTTTTTCATTTTTATGTTTGGAAGATACTAATGGGAGGAAAAAAGCATTTTCTCTGCAGCAGGTCTACTGGCTTAGCGTGGAGTGGTGATTTGAGTCACTTTTATTGCCCTGCCTGAAAGGAGCTTGGAAGCCTCTGAGCACTCTTCAGAGAGTGATTGTCCCTCTCCAAAAGCCCCCATAAAATGAGACAAATCGCTCTTTAAACTTTAAGGATACGCTCGAGACCATCAGCTCTGCTTAGAAGCTGCTGTCCTAACCCATTAAGATAAAAATAAATAGGTCTATTTTGGGAGGAGGAAAGTGGGAACCAGCCCAAACATCAGTGAGACACTGCCAATGTGTGCAGAAGACAAGTGGTGCTGTGGTTTTGTTTATTTGGCTTCTTTTTTTTGTACTTTCTTTTGTCTTATGTGCCTTCTAACTCAAAACCAGCAGTCTCTTTGACTTGCCACATCTGGTTTCTGCTGATCTATCCAGTAACACATTTAGACAAGAACTCTTCTGACAATGCCTTGCATTTCTCAGGAAAGCTTAAAAAAGGGAATGGGAAATTAGTATGGAGTTGTATAGGAGCCCAAGCCTGTAGTCAGAGCACTGAGCGATGGAAATGCAATGGCACTGATTTGTGCATAAGCAGGTTATACAGAGCTGAGTGAGCATCTGAAAGCAGCAAAGAGGGAGAGCAGATTGGTTATTTGGTAGAGTGGGGAAAAAATGCAAAATGATCTCCTCCAACTGAAGGCCAGATACAGATATAGACAATAAACAAGGTAGGAAAGCAAGAGTTGATCTAGAAACCTTGCAAACTCTGAGTGATTGTGTACATTCTGAAGGCCCAGGGAAGCCAGACCTAGGGTTAGCAAAACCTCTGAGCTGGGATCTGAGCATCACTGACAGTGACAGCAGCACCTGGGGGTAAGGGCAGTGCCCAGGCCAGGAAAGTTGAGTGCCTCAATGCAGTGCCTCTGTCCTGCAAGGCAAAGCTGCATCCCCTACACAGACTGCATGTAAGCCGTGACAGTCTGCACAGCTAATAATAGCTACAGAACAAATCCCATCTCTCTCTGTTGCTTTCCAAGTGGAGAATTTAACATCAGAGCTGGATTTTTGGTTCTCAGACAACAATTAATTTGCTAGAAATTGACTTTCTGCTGCTCCTAAAACAGAGCACACTGTAGGCTGCACTGGCTCTCAGTTGCTAGGAGCTGCCCTTGCTGCTTTTGCTTCTATATGTGCCCAGTGTGAGATCTCTTAAAGCAAGAAGGAGCAGCCACGCCACAGCAGGGGCTGACTGAAGGCGGGCTTTCTCCTCTCAGTGCATCTCAGAGTGGCTCTCAGGGTGCTGCCCATGCATAGGACACATGCTGACGTGGGCAGTGTCTCCTTGCCCTGTGCTGATGGAGCATTGCAGCAGGTGCTTCAGCATCCAGTGGGGATGGGTTAAAGCTGAGAGGGGAGGTGCTGTTGGAAGGTCCCACTGCTGAGGTGAAGTGGGAATGAACAGGGCAGGGCCATGGGCTGTGCTTGGAGTGCAGTGCAAACAGGAGGCAGGGTGATGGCTTTCCTAAAATGCAATGGAATGATGAGAATATCTTTTTAAGACTGCTGCTAGGAAGCTTTGGGTTTGCTCATCTGCCCATGGAACAACATTTCCCTGGACAAAGGGCTTTCTTTTTGTTCCATTGAGGCTTGAGATACAGTAGTATTTAGTGGAAGCAAAGCCCATCCCTGCCTGCTATCTTGGGGTGGGTCTCTGCCTGAGTTATCCCAGAAGTGAACAAATTTGTTCCATATAAGATAACTAGCTGAACTTAAAATATTTTTGCCTTTTTCTGTGTTGCATCCAGCAAAGCTAACGCCACCAGGAGAGCTAGCAGAACAACAGGAAGTTGCTTGCATGTAGTGTTTTGGCCTAAACATATCCAAAAATGGGATGGAAAACAGCTATTGGGCTGCACTGGGCATAGCCACTGCGTTAGTGGGCACAGAAAATCCCGTCTCTGCAGTTTTTAATTGTTTTTTTAATCCCCTAAAGGACCAATTCTGTTTCATTCCTAACTATTGCTAAGATTCCTGCTATGCTCTGATCCCTGAACAATTGCACACATGTAGAACAGCACCTCTCTTTCACTCATCCACTCAGGAAAGCCATAAAGATCCAATTACAAAGAAACGTGGAAGACAGTAAAAGAACCATCTTCTGATGTGCCTCGAAGGAACATAACACAGAATGATAAGCTTATCAGCAAAAAAATAAAGGAAAATGTTTTATCTGCACGCTTATAAATGTAAACACCTTCAAATCAACATCTTGCTCTCAGTTTGCAGATTGAGTGTGCCTTCAGAACCAGGATTCAAACAGGGAGGAAAAAAGAGGTAATTGAAGCAATTGCTGGGAAGGGAGATGGGAAAATGAACGCTGAGCTCTGCCAAGGGTGAGATGCAGAGAAAGCTGCTCTGAGCGTGCTGGCTGGGTCTGGTTTGCATTATGATTTCAGAACGTGACAAGTTCTGTTAACAGGCTACTACATTTCTTCTCATCTCCCTTGTCTTTGTGTACACAAGAAACAACTGCAGCCATCCCTGCTGCTTTCCACTGTATAATTATTTTCATCCAAACCTGCCCATAAACTTGTTCCCAACTCATTTTAGAAACAACAACAACAAAAACCCAACAAACCCAACCCTGCTTGTTCAAGGGGAGGTGATCATTGGACACGCAGTCACACTGCATGCCAAATGCAAGGGGAAACAGATGGAGGAAAATTAATCCTCACCACGATGCGTGCCGTTCTGTAACATTTAACCTCTGTCACAGAAACAAAACAATACTTTTTTAGCTTTTTCCCTTTAACTGTGGAGGCTGACTTAGAAGAGAGATCCTCTTTGTCATTCACAAGTCCAAAGAAGTGTACTTTGCATGAGTCTAAATGCTTTTTCACTCCACAGCTGGCTGCTCTGGGAAACACAAGTCACCCAGGCTCTCTCTGAGCAGAGCAAGACAGGACCTGCCAGGGAGCTACTCATGGCTTCAGGCATTGGACACAAAATCCAATCACATAAATGTACTTATGGTGGAATTCGGTATGCTTCTGTAAGAAACCTGTCTTTCTAGAGCACTGAGAATGTTACATGAGCTTTTAAATACAGGTGCCTTTAACTCTCGCCCTCTCTCATAAAAATACACATTACTGTGCTCAGCTGCTCGACTGCTGAATTATGTTTATCATTTTTAATTGCTCTTTTCGGTGTTATTTCTGAACTGCCTCCTTTATAAAGAGTCAAGGCTTCAAAAAGTATCCAAGCAGCTCAAGGAACCAATAGCACAGACCAATTTAACATCCCCTTCTCCCTCACACTGAGCTCAGCACTAAGACAACAGCAGCTGGCACCTGGATGCTGTACTGGCCAGT